TAACAATTGGATAAGCGTATCTAATTAGATTAGGTATAGATAGCACTATAGACTATAGATCAGATAGATCCGGTAAGATTGGATGATGCATGAGATTCTATGGGAAATTCACTGTTCACAAAGATATATTGATAGGATTTTGATGTGAGTTGTATTTGTTTGCACTATGTCTTGGAATAGATTGGAGCCAGGAAGTGTGGAAAATATCAAGACATATGGGCGGCTAGCGTTGGAGATCATGAACCTATGGGATGGTTTTTCAAACCAACGACTGGGTGGTGAAACACCAACCAAAACGTGCGATTCTAGCATAGTTTAAGCATGTTTAAAGCAACGTTCATTGTGAATCAACATGATAAAGCCACATGACTTTGTAGCACTAAACATGGACGTATATGCCAAGGGAGGTGGCAATGATTGGATGCTTGTCACTGGATGGTTTTGAGAACACACCAAGCCTCCAGGTCTTGGTTGTCTCTGTGTGTAAATGCATAGCTTTTTTGAGACACATGGCAGGTCCCATGGGCATCAAATGTCGCAAGGGTTGCTATTTCTCTCAGAATTGGATGGGCAAAATTGCCCCACATGATTTGGCATGTCTGGCATGTTCCAATTTTTCCCGGAAAACCCATTGGTCAAGTCCCGGAGGCCTGCTGTCGCATCTTCGAGGAATGTCGGTCAAAGAAATCACTGCCCAGTGTCACCAGTGTCGAGGAAGTCCAATGGCGGACGAACTGCAAAAAACGCTTGGCAAAGGCCTTGAAGGATGATGGCATGATGGCTTTGTCACTGATACCACCGCTAAAAATGCCATGAATTTTCAAAGAAAAAAATGGGGGGATTTCTATTTTCAATGATGGACCCGCAGAAATATCATGGTTGTTTGTACGTGCGTTTTTGAGCAGCTGTTCACAGCTATGTGATGCAATGTTCATGGTTTTTTCATTTATTGATCTTCGTTTTAAGGTTGTTTGTTTCCCACAAGTAGCGAAACTGATTCGAGTCTGAGTCTGGATCTGTAAACCTGGACTTATGGTAAACTTTGAAGGACATGAAGAGCCGTGTTTGGTGAGAATATCACAAAAAGAGTATTCTGATAGTTTCTATCCACATTTGAATGTTGGAAACACTCTCTGAGTATGCTGCAATATTTTGGAGTTATCGTCTTTCCAGGACGCTGCAAAGGGCAAGACCTCCAAGGCCTCCCGACCTCCACCTCTTCGCATTCCCCGGAAAGGCAAAGGCAGTGGCAAAGGCGGTCGTGGCCGTGGCCGCGCCCGACGCTTGCCGGTGCCTGCTGTGCCGCCCCAGGTGCCGGACCAGGCCGATGACGAAGACCTGCCGTTGTGTCAGCTGGTGGAGCGGGATCCGTTCAGAACACCCGAGCGACCAGCGAGAGGTAGTTGGAGTTCACCCAAGGCTTCACCAGGCACAGGCTCCTCGCTGCAGGAAAGCTCACCAGTACCATTGCAGAGTACATGGCCCTTGGCGTTGCAAAGTACATCGCCATTGGCATCGCAGAGAATTTCGCCATTGCCATTGCAGGCTTCACCGTTGTCATTGCAAAGTACTCCGGGAAAGGAAAACTCGCCATTGGCATTACAGAGTACTTCCCCATTTGCAACACAGACCTCCCCATTGGCACTACCTGGCAGTCCTGAGAACAAGACTCCGTCACCGATGGCGAAGTTTGAATTTCAAGGTGCCTGCTGTGAGAGGAGTTGTGACAACCCACGTTTTGTTGGACAAACAATAAACTACTTTCTTCGAGTGATCCCCACCCTGACATATTATTCAAAATCATTCTGGCATAGTTTCTGACATACCATTTGGAAATACGTATTGGATGTATATTCTGACATTCTATCTGACATTCTTATTGCATCTTATTGCCATACACTCTGACATTCTTTCTGGCATATACTCTGACATTATTTCCGGCATTCTATCTGGAATCTATTCTGACATACTTTCTGGCATATATGCTGACATTCTTTCTGCCATCTATGCTGGCATTTATCTGTCATCTATTCTGACATTCTTTCTGGCATCTATTCTGGCATCCTATCGGGCATTCTATCTGACAGTCTCTCTGACATGGGCAGGTTGAGGTCCGACAGTGCCCACTGAGATCCGGAACTCGCAGTTTATATCAGAGGAGGAGGAGAAGAAACCCTCAACTGGCTCAGGAACTAAAAATGTACAGCCCAATCCATACCCTGAACCCACAGGCCGATCCATACGCCCGATCCATACCCCCAGTCCAGACCAAAACGCAGGCGATCCAGACCGATCCATACATCCGGATCACCGCGGGCCGATCCATAGCCGAATTTTGACGCAACCCTTCTTGTTGTTCTTACCACCGAGATGTGACATTTCCTCTCTGCAACCCATCTCCACACCGCTAAATAGATGGAACCACAAACGAAAAACACGTTCTACAAACCAAGAAAACTGTATACGATACTAGAAAGTGTCTATGACTACTATTTTATGTATGGATGTTCTTTGTGGATTTGCTGGTGATGAAACAAGCCCGGGCTTCCTCGCCCGTGCAGGCGGTGCGCCACCAGCGCGGAAGCTCCGCCGTTCCACCTCTGCGCCGGAACCCACGGAGGCGCAGCCCAAAGCCAAGCGACGGCTGGTGCAGACGCGTCGCCTGGTGCTGGTGTTGGAAGGGAAACACATGGGGACGTCAAGTAACATGGGATAATTCCAGGAATATCGTATTAGAATGATCGAGCTATCATTCATTATGAAAATGATTATCTTGTGTTCTTCAGATATTGATTATGCCATTATTGTACAAAGAGGACACCATTGGTTTCCACACCTCTGTTCGTTCGCTTCGACATTTCTTGATATCTCTTGATCTCCCCAAAGCTCTCTCCGAAGCTTTGGCTTTGAACCATGGAGACTCGGATCCTGGAGCCTCGTCAGCGCCCGGCAGGCGCCAGGGGGCTGGTTTTGTTCTTGTTTGGTGTGGACGATGTTCGGTGTGGCCAGGCACCTGGTTTTAAGATCACACCAAGCCTCGCCGTGAATGAAAGTAGATGATACTTCAACAGTAAACCGCCTACTGAGTATTTGATATTCCCCGAGAGAATTTGTTGCAGTTTTGGATCTACTCGATCATTGTCAGATCCATATCTAAATTTTGTATATCAAATAGTAGTAATTATAATCTAGTATAGTCTATAGTATATCAAATACTAATCATCTACCCATATTTGAATTCTTAGTCTGCCCAGATTATTGTTTGCAGAACTGAGTTTTGGGGGCTGGCTGGCTCTGCTGGAGCCAGAAACTCTATTTCTTGCATTCCCCAACTTTTGTCAACTTTACTAACTTCTAGCAAAACTTCTTGACGTTGCTTTGTCCAAATATTATATTTGAATAGTATTATATGAATATTACAGGTATATGTAGACAACATATACTTATGCAAAATATTTCAGTATATGATACAACGTGTATATATATATGCCGCAACCACGATGTTGTGATCCATCTGATGCAGCGCTCAGGGGAACACCTGGAACCACGAAAACCGAAGGATCCCAAATGGCGTGCACAGCATGGGGAGCCTCGGTTCACTGGGATTGTTCCACTATAGGAAAATCCACAGGAAACCTCAAAAATCTCAGCCACACCACTTTCTGGACCATTCGTGAGTGCTGAAGGAAGAGTGAGAATGTTAAGAGCAAATCGTTAGTTGCAAGAGAAAACAACTATAACAACTCCTATAACTTCGATGTTTTTCCTCATCAAATGCTGCACCTAGGATTTGCGCTCAGATTTGGGGCCCATGCAGCTCGGTGAAATCTGAGGAGTCTCGCCACATGCTTCGCATGCTGTTCTGAAATGTTCTAAACTGGAATGAGTTGGCACCACCAAACCTCCAATATGGCACCGGACCACTTCAGCTGGCGTCCACACCCACATCCAGATGATTCGCCAGGTTTCCAATCGTCAACTTGCGCTATCCCGATGGGGCCCCTGCCGTGCAATGTCAGGCCCCAATATCAGGAATGGGCTGGGAAAGTTTCACTGGGGAGTGGCTTGCGTATGCCGATTTTTTTTTGATTCTCCACTTGGGGAACATTGATGGGTGTTTCCCAAGTCGTGCTGCTGACCAGCATCTTTCAATATGTTTGGCGCGCTATTTGTGGGCAGTCGAATTCGGATTTGCTCACTTGATCGATTAGACCAACAGGCGATCAACCAGTGGCCTAGCAGCTACTATCCGGTCATTGACATCGGTATCCGACCACCGTTCGAAGTTCTACCCAGCAATCGCCATCAACAGCAACATCAACAGCAACAACAATATAGTCATCGTCATCATCATCAACATCATCTTCCTTATCCTCATCCTCTTCATCATCCTTTCATCATCATCAACAACAACTCATCCTTATCCTCATCCTCATCCTCATCCTTATCTTCACTACCACAACCACCACCACCACCACCATCATCATCATCATCATCATCATCATCATCATAACAATAATAATAATCATCATCAACAACATCATCATCACCACCATCATCAACATCATCACCATCATCATCAGTATCATCAGTATTATCAACACCGTTGTCGTCGTCGCCATCATCATCATCATCATCATATTATTATTATTATTATTATTATCATTATCATCATTGACAACATCATCATTCCCAACATCATCAACATCATCATTATCATCATCCTTCTCTTCATCGTCATCACCACCACCATGATCATCATCATTTTGTCATCATCCCTTTGATTCATTCCTGCTTATATCCTTCGATGAACAAACATACATGTATATGACAACATGTAAAGAATATACATGTAGTACAATGTAATACAGTGTAGACATTATATATACATATATATATATATGTACGTTAGATTTACAATCTATATGCATACAAAAACATGTATCGAATATATACCTATATAATATGTCTATATATATATATGAATCTATACTTGTAAATAAATATGTATATGTATATGCAATTTTACATTTATACATATCTAGCCTAGCATTTACGATACACGCACACACACACACATATATATATTATATCTGTGTGTGTGCTTCACCCCAAGTCTTCGATGATAATTCGTGACGCCCATTCTACGGCCATCAGGCTGATGGCTCTGGAGTCGCCACCTATCCCAGCGGCCGCAAAGCTGTCTGCGTTCTGCCGCACCACCAGTGCCACGGCCGCACGGGGTGCCAGTTAAAAAAAGGATGTTACAAATTAGAACAGGATATAATATCAACCAAGGATTAATAAGCCCCTGGTTTACGAATCGGGGGGTGCCATTAGGTTTTGTAAAGTGAAATAATCCGTAGTTTACATTGCTTATAATCAAAATAGAGAGAGATGAGAAAACATTTCAGCATCGTCAGAAACAACCCAAATACATTTAAAGAAGAGTTGTGTCATATGACTGAGTCGCGTAAGTAAAACCCTGGGTTCCGTAAGGTGGTGTAAGCCAATTTTTACAAAATACAAATCGTAAGCTCTGGCGTAAACATAACCATGCCTAACATGATGATCTGCCCAAGGTCGAAAACACTTTTGGCGTAAGCAGGTTCCTAATGGTTCCTATGCGTTTTAAGCCAATGCTTGCCGCGTAAATCAAAATTGTGGTCGCAGAAGCATTGCGTATGGTCTAGCGTAAGCAATCTTATGCAACATAAGCCGGTAATTTCCCGTTTTCGGAGAAATTCGTGTGTGAACATATTGTTTATCAACTGCTTACTGTTCTTGGAGAAACCCATGCAACAGATGGTAGGTTGATTGCGTGAATTTGTCAAATTGTCAACGTGCTCCTAGTGCTCCTGTACAACATGTTCCTGTTCCCTGCGAGGCCTTGAGCCATTTGTCCAGTGTAGGTACAACAGCACAGACTTGTGCACAGCAACCGCAGAGGCAAAAGGATTGAGACCATCACATCAGCACATTGGCTACAACACATCTGATCTACCTGGTGGTTTTACATAATTTGCTACGTGAATGAGCCTTCTGGTTGGTATATTGATGGTGAAATGCTGGTCAAGAGATCATAAAATGTGATGGTATGGGTCCCTATCTGATAGATGAAGGATATGGTTGTTTGTTGTTGTTGCTGTTGTTTCAGATGGTATGGATGGTGATGACCATGGGTCAAAAAAATCGACTCCTTTGCACCCTTTGCAGCACGCCTTGAAAAAAAGAAAACGCACAACATTGATATTGACAATATTGTTGTCACGTGGACATTCATGGATTTTCCATAGATGACAGATGACACCCCATGTTCCTCTGAACATCTCATTCTTGGGGGAGGAGGATTGCTTATATAGGTGCTCTTGTCCTAGATGTACAGCAGCCTATGATCCACTTCCTACAATATCCTATTGCCGTATGTTGCAAAAATCCAACAGGGCCAAAATGTTGCGGGTACTTGTGGTTCGAAGCAATTGACCCCCAAAAGTTTACACCGGAACTGGTCATGTTCAGTATTATCATGCCTTACCAATTTTAGCGGGAATTCAAGATAGTGTTTCGGCAAACAGCAACAATCTCATTGCGAGCTGTGAGTTTGAACAGCTCAATCTTCAAGCAAAAAATCAAGAAACAACACGCGGTCATTTCCCAATCAAACTTTTCAACCTGTTCTGTTTTTTTCTTTCATTTTTTGGTTGAATCAGATAAATGACATGGTTCGACGTGCATTTTTGATTAGTGCGACACAAAAAAGGTTTGAGTTTTGAACGACTGAAATTTCATGGTTTTCTTGGTGAAATTACAAGCTGAACACCAAGAATTGCCACATGTTTCACCATTTTTCACCCATGTTTATCATTTTTCTTGCTTCAATCTCCATTTTTCCCCTTTTTTCCATCGTTTTTCCCCCGGCCCCCAGGTCGCGGCGCTTCAGCTGCCTAGTCTACGCGCGCAGCGAGGTGCCCGTGCGTTCGGCGGTGCCCGACGAGGAGCGGCCGAAGCAGCGCCCGCCGCACCCGGACGATGCCAAGAGGCGCGGCACGGGGAGATACAACAGTTGGGCTGGGTTGGAGGCATACCTGATTGTGGGTAAAACAATGCCATGTTTACCACCCATGACTGGGAATGGTAGACATACCACCTATTTATGGTGATTTTGGGGATGGTTTACCCCCAAAATCATCCAAAATTGGTGGTCATTGGAAAACCAATGGTTTGGGGCACCCATATTTTAGAAAACCCCCATATAGTTAAACTTATATAGTTTTTTTTAATATTGAAGATCGTTTGACTGAAATTTGGTGAAGTGGTTGGGTTTTTGAGAATTGTAGTACATGTTCCTAGTTTTTTTTGGGAATACATGTAATATATATATATATATATATATGTATATGTATGTGTATATAGGTACTATAGTTTATGGAATATAATTATAGCTTATGGGAGAAGTGGTTTTGTGGGGATTGTATAACATGACATGTTCATGGGTTTATAAGGCATACATATATATGTATACACCATGGTACATAGAAGTATTCAACCATAATGAAGCATAATTGGGATCAGGTATATACATTATTGTATATATATAATGTAATCCGCAATGTAAGTAAGTATCATTGTAACTATATGGGTGATAACGTTGCATAATCGAATTATATATTTGTATGAGTAGCCAACAATGTTTCTTGGGATCATGTTAATTAGGAAACTAGTGTTTGGGAAGTTTTTTTTTCGTTACAATAACCAACCAAACATGGGGATAACATGAAGAAAGGGAAAGTAATGGAAGGACAACCAACACTATGATTGTTGATTGAGTGTTGATAAAAGCTGATTGGGTATCTCCACATACACATATACACACATTTGATAGGCATACACACATACAGTATTTGGAAATATCATGATCATATGATTGTTGATTTGGTAGGATTAGGCTTGGCTAATCAGCCCCCGTGGCTGGGAAATCCCCCACATATTGGGATAAGAGCTGACATAAAATGATATTGGCATTGGGATCAAACTGGATATAAATTGATACAAATATGGTTCCCATATGCTCCATGTATTTTTTGTTCATTTTTCTGTGGGCATTTGTTTTGGTTAAATCAGTAAATAGTCCCATCGATGGAACATTCGGCATTTTTTGTCGTAAAAAAAACAACTAAACAAACACATGTTTTTAATTTTTCTATCATAAGTGGACTAAAAACTTACATTTACAAAAAAAAACATACTGCAAGTCTATCATAAAAATTGACATCATCCCTGCATTTCCGCAATTTTTGCCCGTTAAAACCATGCTTCAGGCGTCGTACGCGCCACTTGGGCGCCTTGGACGACTGGGGCCTCGGCATTTTGGAGGCCTTGGACGACGGCAGCGGCCGGGGAAGCTACGAGGTCACGGCCACGCACGTCACGGTGGCCGCGTGGTGAAATTAAGTGGTTGGGAAGAGAGATTTACTATATTTTACTATGGTTAAATCACCATTTTTGATGCTGAATTTAATTTAGCATCAAAAATAAACCATCAACACAATGTGAATTCACCAAATTTAAGCATCAAAAATGATGATTTAATCAACCAACACAAAATGGTGATTTAGTGTTCCAAATACAGGGATCTAATGGGAATTAACCATCAAAACAGCGGATTGACCTTCAACATGATGATTTAGGATTGAAACATGGTGATTTAACATGATTGAACTATCAAACATGGGGAGTTAGCCAATAAAATGAGTATGTTGGTTATTTTTTCCTGGCTGCAGAACCATAGATCAAGATGCTGGCAACTTCAAAATACATATTTTGCCCGGGCACAAGCTACCATGCAGATGGGTTTTACCCTACATCACGCGGGTTTTGCGTAGACATTTGAAAGAACTTATCAGGTGTAGGCTACCTCATGCAATGGTGTAGGCTCTGCGTGTGCGTTTGCGTACGTTACATGCTACTGTTCACCCAAATACAAGGATACAAAACACTACTCAAATAGGTATATAAAATGGGGATACCTAGGTCTGCTCAAGGTGATTCTCTATTTTCCACAAGATTACAGTAATCCACCAGAAATGGGGAGTCCGTATGTTTGCTGCTGACCTCTTATCCAATATGCAACGTCTGAATTCAAATCCAAGAAAATGTGGTGGTATATAAAGAGAGAACTCTCTCTAAACTAACTGGTGGTTTAAAATTTACCATGGATCCTATGGGGTATAATTATGGTTAACAATCAAAATTTAATTAAACAACCATAATTAAAAGTTTGTTTTTTCCTGGAGTTAGTTTTGTATACTAACCATTGTTTTTTTTAATACTGGGAGTAATTTTATAATTTATACTAACTATGCTATATCAAAACAACCATAATTTTACCCCATAGGATCCATGGCGCTGCTATATATGGTAACATGGATCCCATCAATATACCCCAAATGTTAGCATATATACCGTATACCATATATGGATCCTATGGGTACTGGGAGTTTGTTCAATCAAGTGGGTATTGTTTTTGGACTGTGGAATATTTCGATAAAACAAACTGGATGTCGGATGTAAATGGAAAGCCTGGGAAAACCACAGGTCTGTTTTTGCTGCATCTCCATGTTTGCTTCATTACTGAGTTTCTGCTCCCAGTTGTATTGGATTCAATGCATCTCAAACAACTCACCTTTTTTTTCCCTCTAGGTCGTCTAGGTAAAGCAATCCAACACACAAACAAATCTGAATTGTCATCTTTATAATTCACACAAGCTCCTGTTCCTTTTGGGCGAGGCTTTTTCTGGGTGTCTCCTGAAGTAGGGGTACCCCAAAACCATTGGTATCCCCATTAAACATGACAAATTGGATCATTTTTAGTGCTCCCCCATTGTTTGAAAATATGCTACCCCGAGAATTGATTGGTTTTTTTGTCGTTTATCAATGGCTATTGTCATGTTCCACATTACCGTAACATTGCCTCAATTGGTGGTATACCCCATTTTCAGCTACACCCAAATATATATATATATTCAAATATATATATATATATATCTTATTGTTTGTATTTGTTTGTTGTATATCCCAGTATATCTCATATATTCCAACTATATCCTATTATACATATCCAAAGATAGCCCATAATGCCCCATTATCTCCTATATCCTTGGGTTTTCTCAGGAGGGAGAGGCCAACTAGTGCAAACATGCTGCAAACCTTATTCAAGTCCTCTGGCAAACCCAAGTATCCCATAAATTTAGGTCATCAATTCCCATCAATTCCCATAATTTCCCATACTATAAATTCCCATCAATTCCCATAATTTCCCATAAATTCCCAACCTCTCCCCATTTTTCTTAGGTCAACCCTGGCCCGGCCGGCGGCCGCACGCGCCTCGCGCGGGCCGCGCCGGCCGCGGAGCGCACGGAGGTCTTGTCCCTGCGGCTGAGCCCGGATTTGACGCCCGGCGGATCTGAGATATCTGAAGAATGTTAACCACATGATTTAAGCATCATTTAATCATCATTTAACTCATTTAACCATTTTACATCATTTTACCATCATTTAGTGTATTCTTATCATTTAATTGTCATGTCACCCTCATTTGATGTGATTTCATCATTGAAAATTAGATTTCTCATGAGATTTCTCGAGGGATTTGCTGGGTATAATTAATGGATTCTACCCTGGTAATCAAACGTGGCAATGGACCATTTTCTTATAGGATTGAAATCTCCATTTAGATTTAGTTTGGGGATTTTCCATTGCTACGTTTGATGACACCGGAGGGTACTGTAATGGAGATTGATTTCACAGCATAGGAATATCCCCAATTAGATTACTGGTTTCTAGTTTCTAAACCACGAAACGTAACTGGTTGAGAAACCTGGTTAGTAACTCCCCGATTCGTAGGTTACTGTACCCCAACCTTGACCCATGGCTAGTGGCTGTAAATGGGGATTTAAACAACACAAATAGTGGAACAAATGGGGATACTATGGGGATGCAGTGGAGAATGCTCGCAAATCAACTAGAAGGGTCGTTATAGCCCCTAGCCCCTAAGAGTAGGTTTTTGTTTTAGGATCAATTAAACAGGGCTTCTATTGGGATATGACTTACATAACTATCAACAATAGGGACTTGACTATTTGGACCAGTTTGGAACCCGGAATATCTGAGATATAAATCTCTTTAGAAACCAAACATGGTCATAGAAACTCATAGAAATTGAATCCCACCACTGGCGAAGCGCTGCAAGTGGGGTTCGTATTCCAGGAATCCCAGTATCTCCTAGTGTTGTTTTGAGGGACAAACCCACGTGGTCTGGTTGTTGGTTACTACTATGGTTGTTCTGAATGCTTTTCCATCGTTGGGAACTGGGACCATAGTTGGGAATGAGGGCTTTCTTGGATGATTTTGAAGGTGCCTTGTTGTTGCCACTATATTTAATTACATTGCTGCTCAAAGATCCTCTCTGTTGAAGACATTGTCCCTCTTTTCCACCATTCCAATCTTGTCGCTTGAGTTGAAACCTCAGTTTTCTTACTGAATCGTCATCACTTTGGGAAACATGGCACTAGCTGAACCAAGGATGGTGACCTATGACCTTGCAACTGGTGCCTTGACAACAGACTTGAGGCGGTAGGACAGATCTAGCGGAGTGCTCCAGGAGACTCTGCAACTCAGGCGCCCTTCGGTAATCAAACATGGCAATGGGAAATCCCACAATTATATATAGCATATTCGCTTGCCATGTTTCATTGCCAGAGGGTATGTGGATTTTTGATGGTTATTATGGATTTGTGCGAAACTGACGTATACCTCAAGCTCATTTCCAAGCATATTCGCCAGTCAACGGCCAGTTTGGGGGTATGCCCTATTGTCAGACACATCCATGTAATTGTAACAGCGAGTGGCTGGCTTACTGATTCACTGCTAAAGCAGCTGAAGAGCTAGTATATAACACACATAGATGCGTATATGATCATATATACAGTATATAATAGTAATATATATATATACACACGCGGTATATAGACGGTCATGTGTGTGTGTATGTATATATATATATATATATCAGATGAACACTGAATACAATTGAATTCAATGGGAATCTACGTGTTGATGCTCACCCATACCACTAACACATAGCCACTTGAAGACTACCAGCTGAGCCAGGAACGACCAGCTTGGATTTTAGTTGTGGAGGCTTGGGAGCAGCTGGGAGAAAACCCCCCAATGATTCAGTAAGTTGGTCTAAACATGTTCCCCATGAAAAATGCTAGTTGGAGGTATTTTCCTCAAGATTCAGACACATCCATGTCTTGTTGATTTTCTAGTCTTAGAGCCACTTTGCAGTTGCAAATCATTGTCATTTAAGTCGCTCCTTTGTCTTGTTGAATGCTTGGCAGAACATCGCATTAGTCGGTTGGACATAGTGACACAGTCGGCCCAGTGATTTGACATGCGAACGTTTGATTGTTTCACCATGCGGAAGATTTTTGACGATCAAGATGGGCTTCAAGAGCAAGAGCCTGCATAGTCCCTCTCAACATCTTGCATTTCGGAGTAGGTATGCACCCACAGACAGGCCAACAAAAGACGCTACCCCATGTCTGGAGGTGTATCCTATACATTTCACATCGGCGAGGCTGCAGTTTTGCCTGGTGGACTGGGGAGATCGTCTTCGTTTTCACTGGGAAATCATCTATATGAGTGAAATTGTGAGATGTGTCAAGCTCGAAAGCCCAGGGTCCCACAATTTGTTAAATGAAATGTGATCTTGATTGGTTGAGCGATCTTTTTTAATGAAACTAACACGGGTCTTGAGGTCTTTGTAGTTCTGAAATGCTCGAGAAACCACAATAGGTGGTTGCACCATACCGTGGAAAAGCATCGGAAGAAGAATCGCTGGACGAAGAACCGCTTTTTTTTTTACATGATGTGCACTGAATTTACACCTTTTTGAAATCTAATTGCTATAACATCCCCTTCGCAATAACCCTTATGAAATCTATCAACCCGGCCTGGCTTGCGTTTTTCGGGGTTATTTCAGAAGGTTTCCGATGTTTTCAAATTCAGATTGCCAAAAGGAGGTTTCCTTAAAAATTGCCGATTCTCCCGGAGAGCAGTAGGCCATTCATGTATAATCAATGTAATGTTAATACCTTTTTGATCATGGTTTTATTTAAGAACCAACCTTGTAAAGTTGCAAAATAACAAAGGATATCAACAGACAGGGTCTGAAAAAGAGAACCACAGTTTCTTTTTTGTCCTCATGAAATGGAAGTCACACCTTTTGCGTTTTATAAGCAACCTGCGTGCAAATTTGTGCAAAACAGTGATTGCATGTACATGCATGTTCCCCTTTCATAAGGGACATCGATTGCTCTTTTTTTGAAAATTGCAGTATTACCGTCAAAAAAGAGAGCCACACATACAAAACAAATATTGCACATTGGATTGCTTTCGATTGTTTTGAGTGTAAAATCCCAATGGTAAATGGTCCTTTTGTCCTATTTCAGGGAGGTCAGTCAGGATAAGCTGATTTTCACATCAGGTGTGGAAACTCGGAAGTGGAAGTGGATTAAGAGTCCCTTGGCTGCCAGCCCTTCCACCTATAAGATGACCGAAAGGGTGGCCAACCAACAAAAAAAATGTGTTTTTGCCATGTTTTACTGAGGTTTAGCTAACAAAAACGGGGATGTAAGCATCTAAAATGTGCACACTCAGACATGTTTTAACAATCCTGAAACGAAGCGATATATTATTCAATACCCTAAGAAAGGACCCCACATGAGATGAACAGTTCCAATTGTTGTAATACTGGCTGGATGGGAGTACTTGTCTTCAGCACTTGGATTGCTTGTCCCATTCTAGATGTCATAGAGGATGAGTTGAGAAATTTTCTGGTCATTGAGCTTTTGAAAATGCTTCTACTGCCACAGGGGATTGGTCTGTCTGGTTTGAGGATGCTTTGAATCCAACATGATTTGATTTCGTGGAAGATGAACTGTGATGTCATGGTGCCGAATTTTTAGCAGCCAATGGCGAAATAATGCGACATATACATCAACAATCATATAGAAACATATGTTATATAAATATATAATTATATATATATATATATACACATGTAATATGTATCGGTATCACTTTTCTATCTATTGAGGCAACCTTCATGACTTTACCTTTACCCATGGGGGGTTTTCACGATCATTTCTGTTTTGTAATAGAAATCCGGATTTATTTTATTGTTGGTTAATTTTGGGGTGCACTTTCCCGGTGAACTTTCATTTTCCGTCGCAGACTGTTAAATCCCATTCATATGCTATATTCAATCATATTAAACCCCATGAAATGACGGTGATACGGTGGATGGTTGCGAAATCCTGCACCAGTTGAAAACGGTGGTTTATCCCATGATTTATAGGGTTTCAACCATCCTTTTGTTTTTTTTTAAAGGATTTCGCAAGCATCCACAGTATGATGGTAAAATCCCATGAATATCCCATGAAATCCATCTTAGTGTCGCTCCCCCGAGGTCACGCGTCCCTTAGAGGTGGCGGAGCAGATCGAGTTGGCATCGCAGAAACATTTGGACAGCGCCAACTGCAAGATGGTGCCTGGAAAGAAAACACCATGGCTAAGCGCGGCTATGAAATGCTATAAAAATATGAATGAATTAATTATATATCTATCTATCTATCTATGTAACTATCTAACTATCTAACTATGTAACTATTCAACTATCCATCTATCTATCTAAGTATCTAAGTATCGCTAAATATCTAAGTATCTATGGTGTGAATATGTATGAATTGCTGATCTAACTTTCGATCTTAGCTAACTATTTTTTTTTGCTATGTAATTATCTATCTTACGAACTATAAAACTAACTATCTAGCTAACTATCTAATCTATCTACCTAACTATCTATCTATCCGATCCATCTAACCATATCGAATAATATCCCCGGCCCCCCACTGGGAGACGACAGTCCGTCCCAAGGAGACGACGCTGAAACTGCAGGCAACACTGAAGAATAGCACTTCATGTCCGTCTCTCGTCGCAGGAATCCAGTTCTCCAGTTAAAGAGTTGCAGGGGAGTTGGCCTAGGGTTTAACATTGATTGTTTTCAATGTGGGCTATGGCGGTCCAAATTTGAAGTAACCCGCAATGGCATGGTGCCAAGTGTGCCAGGGAATGGGCGCGGTGGATCGCGGTGCAAAATTGAGGTCCTTGCCTGCTGACAAGACCCTGAAAAAGTCCCACTCGGAAACTTGCAGCAATGGCTTGGATTTTGTCGATGATCAACGGCCAAAAAAAATGTATAAAATGTCACTTAAAGCCACGAAGCTATGGGGAATCTATGAGGAATATATACATATTATATATCTGGTTACACAATAATAAACCATCCCCTGAATCACCATAAATGACTGGTATGAACCATAAAAATATGGATGGTTTATGGCATTGTTTTACCAACATTATTTTATATTTTAGGGATCCCTTCAGCAATTCCACCTGTCGTTCACAGCTGAGTTGTTGCCCCAAAAGATAGAGAAATCCCACTCGAATAAACCATTGTTTTTTTTCTAGTATCTAATGGGTATAGTATATAAACCCTTAGGGGATTTAATGATGGTTTAATAATCTCTAATATATATATATATATATAGAATATAGACCATTAGGGGATTTTCTAGGTAGTCCATTAGGTAATCCAATAGATTGGATCTCGCTGGAAGATAATGTTCTTTTCTCTAAATTTGGTGAATAACTGTCCCACTTTGCGCGGCAGCCATTTTTGGGACTTGTAATGCGACATAGAACTGCTGGATCTTCCAGCCACGTTTGATCGCCATAGTTAAGATGGGCACATATCATTGAGAAGCTACGGGGATTTGCAAACATCCCTTTGAAATATGCAGAATGAGCAAGACCCCATCAAAGCACATGGCTATGGATCAATACCTATACATATCATTTTTAGTGGGATGAACATCCATTTACCAGCTATTTTGGGGTTCACTAGGTACCAGGGTTTTGACCCATCCCCACATGGTTTATGGTTGCTACCAGAAAACAACAGTCGTGACGTTTAGAAGAATGATAACATTCACCAAATCCCGGGGTTTCAGCCAGAGATGCGGCAACATTTGGCCGTCACAGGAATCCGTTTGAACCAACCAGTGGAATGGAGGGGTTGGTTTTCATTGACTGCATCATTATTTTTGGTTGCCATATCCAAGCAATGGTTAAGTTTTGACTTGAATATATACGTATAATATATATATAATTATATATATATATATATGTTTTTTCATGTTCATCATATGACATATGAAAATTAAATGCACAGATGCTTATGTATATGTATGTACGTAGATATATTTATGTGAATGAGCAAAGCAAACACAAGTTGCACCATGTTCATATGAATATTGTATATAGCAAAAAGCAATAACAACAACAAAAAGGCAAAACAAAATATAGATGTAGATGTAATAATACGTAGTAATTAATCATAATGATACTGCTAACAATGATGATCATGATAATAATAACAGTGATAAAAATAATGACAATAATATACATATATATATATACATATATATATACATATATATATATATATGCACATACACTGGGAAGACAAACTTAAACTTGCACTTGTTGAGTTTCCGACAGTCAGTCAACATATGTGGTTTCTTCTTCTTCTTCTTCTGCACACCCTTTCCCCGTAGAATCCTAGCATGGAGCTTTGTCGTACCCCGGTCGCATTTCCACTCTCCAAAAGCTTTTAAATCATATAGGTTTAAAAGCGGGTGATAATCGACCGTGCCACACCTGCCACACAAAACGGACTTGGAGATGTGATCCGCGCTTGACCTAGATGGATGCTTTGTAAAGCTATCAAGAAGCATACACCTTGTTTCTCCCGAACTATATATATAATATGATAATATACCGTATATATATATACATACATACATAGTATATGGTTTGTTCTTCGTTCACCTCTGTCCCATCAAGTTCACTTGACATAATTTTACTGTCTAAGGAGGCTACGATGCGGCTTCCCCTGGAGCATTTCCAGACTCTCAGCCAGGGGCGCTTGGATTTCAAACAAGACCCTCGGCCTGATATAGGGGCCTGGTTGACCCAAGAAAATGAAGAATAGTTGGAAGATTCAGTAAGGGTTTCCATTGGACAAAAATTGCCGTCATAATATAGTATCGATATATCTACTGCATGGGAATATTTGCCAGGTTACCATAATGATCGGGGCCAAAAAATGGGTTGAATCCTGGAGTTGGAACCGATCCCTCAATATCGCAGCTGGTGTGGCGAGCCAGGCATGCAGTTTTTATGGCTTTGTCGATGTTGGGGAAATCCCAGGACCTATTGTTGGACCAAGCTATTCATAAATCATGGCTAATCTCCCAATTAAATTTGACATCTATTTGGGGTAAACTCATGTAAATTCTTCATGTTTGGACGCGCCCGCATGACACGTTCTGAAGTTGTTCCCAGTGTTCGTTCGGAGTTCCTTTCTGATGTGAGCACAGCTCGAGATGCTGCACAATAAAACATGATACTGCTGGCACTTTATTGGCACTGCTGCAAGATGGTTAATACCCCCAGCATGGGAGAATGATTGTCACTCTGATTGCTGTGTTTTTGTTTGGATTCTACCAGTCATTTGTCACAGAATTGGTTCGAGGGAACAATTGTCAGTACCACGTATTAGAGTTGGAGGCTCGTTAAAATCAGGTGGTCTAGGAGGAGGACAACAGGGTGTGACAAGCCAGATAGATTCGTTGAGGGTCGGCAGCATGCGGCAGCAAATGACATGAAATTTCAATATCTTCAGATCTTTCCAAAATGTTCCAAACAGGTCAACATCTGGTAAACTAAAATAGCTATTGAAAATGGCCCTCATTTATAGTTATATAATTTCCCTATTATATAAAGATTGTAATTTTCCATAGCTATGTTAGTTTACCAGAGGGTAAACCCAGGACTAATTTTCATCCACGTTCCCTTTCACCGTTTTTACGGCATTCCGAAGGAGCACCAGCTGAAAGTGCTGACGGGAAAGGTTCATCCCTCTCTGGCGAGACCCAAAATCGGCAAAACGATGAGAGAAGGTTCGGAACTGGAGAGCCTGGGTCAGCGATGGGTAGTAATTACTTTCATCTGTTGCCACAAAAGGACACACGTGTATGTGTGTATCTATATGAATATATATATATATACATACATACTGTACATATATGAATATATATATACATACAATACAATATATATATATATATCTATAACTATATATATACTAACAAGCAAAACAACAATTGTGCAAATTATCCAAGACTGGCCATGGGCCAGGGATGACTACGTTTGATTGTTCAAATCCCATCGAAATGATTAAATGGGTAGCTGAAGAGCTCCAGAAATCTAATGACTGGATAGTCTTGGAGGTGGACATGGTGCTCTGGCGTAGATTGCAGCGATCAAACAGAGTAGCTATGTCCTTTGCATGGTCTGGTAGGATTTGTTCTCAATTACTCTACAAGGTTTTTGCGAGCAATTAGTGTATTACATGAAACGTACCAAGAGTTTTTGTATTAGCATTAGTCATCCCCAAATAGATGGAAGGGTAAATCATCATCATTTGTTTTTTCCGATCCAATCTTTTCCATCTATTTCCGGATGACTAAAAACCATGGTATATTTTCATGGCTCGTGGCTGGTCCCCCCGCGATCGCCGCAGGCTACATGTGGCCAGCGGCGCATCCGGGAAAGGTTCCAGTGGATCCCATCAGGCGCGGACAATCATAGAATCATATAAAATCTATGGGAATTGAAGCATCATTTCTGGGGATTAATTGATTTATATGATATGATGGTTAAACCATAGTGATAAGTGATAACATGAATTAATTAATTTCAACCATGATTTCTGGGGATGAATGGGATTCATGTGGATTTAACCATCATTTTTGCCCATTTCTTCCTGGCCTTTTTTTAACGGGACGAGGGTGGGGATTTATCATGGGATTTTACAGCATCATCTGATGGTTTCTGAATGGTGATACCCCAATTTATGGGAAAATGATGGAACATTAGTGAAAATGGTGCTGATAAACCAGTCGATTTTGGGTGCACTATTTTCGGACAGACCCATCTATATATTGTATGGGAATAATGGGAACTGGTAATAGGGAATATAAATTTTCATGATAATATAACTCAGGCGACAACAATCATTAGGCAAGATTATACCATTCATTATACTCACATCTTTCCTTAGCGACTTGAACATCATGGGAATTATGGAAAATAATGCGAATATAATGGGTATGTAATAGGTATATAATGGGATTTATATAACCATCATTTAATGGAATTTAATATGTTATCAATGGGAATACAACGGGTATATAATGGGAAGTTATGGTACAGTGATACAATGGGATATCATGGGTATGACATAGTATACATTCCATGGGTATAACATAGCCCGTTGAGTTCCCGTAGTTTCAGATATTTAATCATGTTAACTGTTCACCCTGGAATAGTGGCATATTTGAATATCTTGGTCTAACAAAAAGAACTATACACATGGGATATTATGGATATATATATATATATACTGTAATGGAAGATAGTGAATATACTGGTTTTGGTGGTTTCAAATATTATTAATATGTGTTCTTTTCACGGCGTCTGACTGAAAACGGGGATTCGAGAACTTGGCGTTTCGTAGTTACCAGTTCTTCACCTATGCTTGATGGAAAACCATCAGGTCCTGGATTACATCCGTCCCAGTAGGCGATGGGCAAAAAACATAATGACGATAGTGCCATATGATTATTGGAAGATAAAATTTGAGATCATTTTGTCATAGTTAAGTTTGAATGTGTGAGGATGAAGATAAAGATGATGACATATGATGACACACACACACAAACCATGATGAAGGTAACTGGGACAGACTGGGACATTCTTATGATACGATAATCCTTTCACTTATAGGAGCATTGTTGTGTTCCAGGCCTAAACTCCCATCATGTCAGCTGAGTCTTTTTTGCTTACCTTGGATCCGCTTTCTCTTTGGATTTGTAGTGAAAGAAATGGAGGAATTCATGCTGCTTTCTGTGGTTTTCCTATGTTTTTCTACGGTGTTTCATGTTATTTTCTTCAAGCCATTCCGGCACACTGGATCACTCTGGATTCCCAGGCCAGTTTGCGAACTGGTATAGGCCTGCTGAGTTCGATGATTTACCTGCAAAACACTGGTGATTTTCCAGTTCACTCCATTTTGGCCGAGGATCGCACCTCCCTTGTCCTTAGAGAAGATCGCAAGCCATGAAGTGGAAAAGCGCGCGGGCTCACTTGAAGCTGGACGGCGATCGGATCCTGGGAATATCTGGTGGCGATCGTGCTGGTGTGATGAATGGCAAGATTTCTGTTGGATCTATGTCCAAGCTCTACCCTTCAAACTGGCTAAACGTCCCAAGTCATAAGGGGTTTTGTTGCCCCATTTTTCGAGGTACTTGGAGGGTCTAGGTATGTCCAAGATTTGGGTTGAACATGGAACCAGCAAAATTCAACGCAAAACCCAACAACAAACTGGCCATGTCCGGTAGCAAAAATGCAATTTGTTTGGTTTCCGTGTTTGGTGTGGAAATGTGTGGAATGGCTTGCTGAGATGACATGGTGCGACTTGCAGGATTCCCTCCTTTTTTCTGAACTCCAGATTTACACCGATGCAGAAAGCCATCAGACTCAACTGGGGTCCCATTTTTGGTGACCTAAGTCACCCCCTCAGTCGTGCTCGCAGGACAGCTGTTGGCTGTTCTGGTTGTGGCCAGCTGGTCGAAGCAATCGTCTCTTGCCATCCACAAAGCTTTTCGATGTCGACTGACTCGACTGAGGGAAACCAATCAAAACAAACCATAGCATATTCTGAAGACACATTTTTTGTTTCACTGTTGATGCACTGTGAAAATTAACTGTTGAAATTGCCAGATTGAGTTGCCAAAAGATCATTCTGACATGGCTGGTGGTGTCAACAAACAACTTGGCTGGTGGTTTCCAATGGCTTCTCCACGCTCAAATGCCCAAAAAAGCGGGAAGCATGTCATGATTGGGGCTATGATTAGGGCTGCAAACCAGGAACGTTTTTTGGGGTAATCTGATCTGGAAAATCAAGGAGATCCAAACTTCATTTTTGAGTGATGTTGAGTGGTTGTCCATCAAGGTTGGATCCACAAGTCCCCTGGGTCTAAGAGAAAGCTTGCAGGAAAGCCAGAATTTCTCTCAGTAAAACCTCTCAGTTACACAACCAAATCCACCAAACTTATGATCACCCTATGTGGATCCTTCGATGGTACCCAATCCATCCTAACCCCCTTAATCCCATCCGCCCAAGCATTCTGGCGTGACCTTTGGGGCAGAATCACATATTAATCACTATTGACTTAGTCATCATTCTTCATCCTTCATCACTCATCACCATTAACCAATCTTAATCACTATTCATATAATTCAATAAGAATTATATATATATATATAATATATATATATAATATCTATGTATATATAATATCTATATATATAATATAATCTATGTTAATTTCATATTCAGATTCATCAACATTCCCCCCCTTTTCAGGAACTACAGCTCCAGTGCGCACGCCGAGATCGTGGCGCAAGCGGCTTGGTCCGAGCTCAAAGCCTCTGGCGAGGCCTAGGGCCTAGGGATCCGATCATCCCATAGTTGGAGGATTTTCCATGGGATTTTCCCACTTGCCCTCTGGTAATGACTAACATAACTATGGGAAATCACCATAGAAATCGTGAATTTTCCCATGAAAAATGGTGATATTTCCATAGTTATGTGACAGTTTACCAGGGGGTGGATCATTTGAGTTGCTTGGAGTTGGTGATAAAAAAAGCTTACATGATAATCTACTAGACTATCCCACAGAAAATTCTCTAACAATGGTGATTATTAAGTATAATCATATATACTATGATAATAGGATGATAAAACAAGTGTGATGAATAATGATACATAATTAAATGACGTAATTGAAAGTGAATGGATGGAATTTGCAACCACCTTCTTTAAAGGCGAAGGAAACTTAATTCTGATGATAAACACAATTAAGATATCATGTTTTTTTCAAAATGAAAACAATTGTGATGTAAATGAGGGGTAGCTATTGTGACGTCATCAAGAAAAAATGATAGCACGGAATAACTCATAGAAACCGTTGCTCAAGATAGGTCTGAAATTACGGATTTTTGAGGATTCACATGGATTAACTATAGGGGGTTACCCTATGGTAAACTAACATAGCTATAGAAAATCACCATTTTGAAAAGGTAAATCAACATAAATCAACTATAAATGTGGTATTTCAATAGCTAAGTTAAATTACCAGAGGGTATATAAACATTAATGATTAACCATTATTAACCATTATTAACCATTATTAACCGTTATTAACCGTTATTAACCAATTATTAACCATTATTAACCATTATTAACCATTATTTATTAACCATTATTAACCATTATTAACCATTATTAACCATTATTAACCATTATTAACCATTATTAACCATTATTAACCATTATTAACCATTATTAACCACTATTAACCATTATTAACCATTATTAACCATTATTAACCATTATTAACCATTATTAACCACTATTAACCATTATTAACCATGATTATTAACCATTATTAGTCATTATTATCATATATTACCAACCAGTCATGTTATATCCCTCTTATGCTTCGAGTCTCGGCCTTCGTGCAGGATCGCTTGATCTTCTGCCTTACCGACCTTTCGGAAGCTGGGGCGATTTACTCAAGTCGCTGGGCTATGAAGCATCTACCCTCTGGTAAACTAACAGTTTGCTATTGAAAATGACCATAGAAATAGTGGATTTTCCCATTCAAAATGGTGGATCTTTCCATAGTTATGTGACAGTTTACCAGAGGGTATGTGGCTGGGAACATCGGAGACCCTTGGAACATGGGAGAGTAGAAAATCATACCCTCCAGTAAATTAACATAGACCCTGCCAGATAGGGGTTGGAAGATTAGTTTCCACTAGAAATTGGTCATGTTCAGGGTCTATGTTAATTTACCAGAGGGTATCATATTTTGTCCATTTTGATGATGACGCTGATTGGCCTTCAACTGTTTTGACCCAATTTTTCGGCCGTGGTTTGCCAAGATCGGTTTGTGGATCATTCGTAAACTTTTGTTCTATCCGAAGTATGTTTCCGTCCAAGTCACACATATACAGTATATAAACATATACAGTATACAGTATGTATATATAAACAATATACAAACACTATATAGACAATATACGATGTATATGTACATATATATATATAATATTATCTATTTAGAGCTGAGTTCAAACTACTAACGCAATGGTGTGTCTGACACGCCACATTTGAGCCAAGTCCAGGGTATCGCTTCCATAAAGTTCCAGAGGAACTTCCGAATTTGCGGAACTTGCAGCCACTGAGAATACACTATACCAAGAAAAATGATACACGCCGATTGTTCATTTAATTTTTTGCATTTTGGATGTGCTGATGTCTTAATATTTCTGGAGGTTTCTTACAATTGCTAAAATTTAATTCGCAAGGCCAGCATGATTTATGCCCCACCAATGAAGCGTGTGCAGGCTTGATACACGCTTACGCTCCACACAGTAAATCCTGCTTGCTGCATAATTACGATCGTGCACTATACATTTGGATCATTCCTTGTAAAATAGACGCCATATGGAATCTGCTCCCACATAGAATGTTTGCCAAAGATAAAGGAGATCAAAAACTCATCTGAGGGGCACTGAAATCCAACGTCAATCTACACATGTACCTGTGCTAACTTGAAAGCTTTGGTTGTATTGCTCGATTGCTTTGTGTCCCAGAAAAAAAGAGTCCCAAATCATCCCAAATCAAGGTCTTCAGCTTAAGAACCCATGTATTAATGTTGTTCACTTTGTAGGCTTGCCAGCGCCTGAATAATCCCCCAAATTAAAGCTAGAACCCAAAACCAGGGTATCAGAACTGGCTGTTGTTGGGATTCAATCTTTAGTTGCAACTCCACCCGGGCCTTCTCATTCTTTGAGGTACCAAGTTCGAAAACCCCTTAGTGGTGAAGTATGGGGTGAAGGACGGGCATAGCTTGCAGGGACCTTGTGGTGTGGGTGCGTTGATGGTCGCAGTGAACCCGAGAAATTGGTAATTTGTGATATCACGCTATCCATTTGGAGTTTCGATATGTTTCCTACGCATTTGGAGTTTCGATATGTTTCCTACTTATATCTATGTGAGCTGTTCAGAATGTAGCTGGTTTCAGCATGAGTTGAGGATGGACAGGACATGTTCTATGGTTGATCGATGTTTTGATTGTTCTAATCATGTGTTTGGAGTCATTGTTCATTGTTCCTCCTAGTTTGACATCATGATCTCCAATGAAAATCATATATATATACACATATGAATTTATATATATTATATAACTATATATATAGAGTTATTATATATATAATTTTATGTATATCTATGTATGTATACAAGGGGGTTAGTGGGCCCCACTTCGAGGAAGCCCCGTGGCTGTTGCTCTTCGCGCGTGGAGAGCTGATCTTCAGCGAAAACCCCCACGCGCCGCGCAGTGGCGGCGGCCTGGGCTTCGCTGCCAGACTCAGGCGGTCTTCGGTGAGTTGTTCGGTTGTGGATTTTACGGTGATTTAATGGTGATTTAATGTGGTTTAATGGTGATTAATAGTGGATTAATATGGGAATATGTATGGTTAATAGTGATTAATAGTGTATTAATGGTGGTTACCCTCTGGTAAACATACAAAAAGCTATTGAAAATGGCCATTGAAATAGTGGATTTTCCCATTAATAGCATGGTGATTTTCCATAGCTATGTTAAATTACCAGAGGGTATAATGTGGTTTATACCACCTATTCATGGCGATTTGGGGGATGGTCTATTATTAACACCATTCGTCAGAACTGCACGAGATGAATTCGGATGGAGGTGTGCCATGAAGCGGGGCCAACTCTCACCTGCTGGATCGGCTCCTACCTTTATATGGCATTCGAAATAAGATACAGAGATGGAACTAATGCATATTTGACATATTCATCAGCAGATTTCTATGTAGTAACGTAGTACTACTGAAGTTGTTTTGAACAGATCCTCCTTTACGGTAGTTGGTTCAGAATTAATAATATCTTGTTATATCTTGTTGTTTCACAACATGCTGTTGTAGGTGATGTGTACTTTTTCACCCTAAAAAACCAGAGATGATTATCCCAATTGACTAACCAATGGTGAGTGATGGGTTAAAACCCGCTCACTTTCTGAATTGTTGTTGGTGGTGACCACCGTCGTTTATGATTTATGCTTCAATTTTTACTTTGTGCGTAAGCATGTTCAACATGTTGAACCAACGTTTGCTTGTTCAACCCCTATTTTTGGTGAATCATGAGTTGCTCCATCATTTTTGTTGGTTCAACCATCATTCTTGACTATCTTTGTGGGTCTAATAACTTTTTATTTCTGGATGCCATTCTTATGTTTATTTTTCTAACTTCAACCTTGCGTTTATTAGCTCAGTCATGCATACATCTCTGTAAATTCCATCATTTTCTCCTGGTTTTATCCAGACTATCCTGACGATCTTCCCAAGTTAGTCACTCAGATTTTTTGGTGAAATCAAACATTTCTGATGGTTTTTTTTTCCCATGTCCATGGATTTTCCAAAGTTTTCCTTTTCTAAATCGATGGTTTCTGCCAATTGGGGATGGGTCAAAACCCTGGTACCTAGTGAACCCCAAAATAGCTGGTAAATGGATGTTCATCCCACTAAAAATGTATCTATAGGTATTGACCCATACCCAATTTTCGCCATGGTTTCTGCCCCTCTGGGTGCCCGTTTTTCGCCAGGTACAAGGCCTTCGCCCTTCCTCAGGTTCTCATCGTGGAGCCTGCACCCAACCCCTCGGCGCTCCAGCAGCAGGCGGCACAGGTCGCCATGGAGCGGCTCGGCCCATGGTGGGCGCCATGGTGGCCATATGGGAATCTAAGTGGTTAATCATGGTTAATAGTGGTTATTAATGGTAAATATATGGTTAATATATGGTTAATTGACTTATAATGAATATTTAATGGGATTTTGCTTGTTGGTTGTACAGATATAAACTACAACTGGCAGGGGGATAATGATGGGTTGATGTATGGGTGGTCTGTGGGAATTTTGACCTACTCTGCAGCCATACAGTTTGCTACTGTATGGTATAGACGGCCCACGAAGATACTGTAGATAGATGACCAGCTGGTATATAAGCTATAACCTGCTATATCAGATTCATATACTATTCATAGTGGCTATTCTGTTTAGATATATATATATATATAATTATATATATATATATATACATCTACACATGTTCATAGTGAGAATATGGACCCATGCTTGGTTGTTCACCCCACTCGGTTTCCGTGGGACAGTTGTAACTAGGTCATAGCCTCCATCCATGTCCTAAATGGGATGAACCCCAGGTACACATAGGGGAAAGTATAGGAGTACCCTCTGGTTATGTCAAAATAGCTATTGAAAATGACCATAGAAATAGTGGATTTTCCCATTAAAAATGGTGATTTTCAATAGCTATGTTAAATTACCAGAGGGTAACCGACTAAATTTTTGCGGAAGACTAAAGTAGTAGGGAGTGGACTTGGGATCTTATGGGATTTTCAAATTTGTGTGAAAACCTTCACAAAGGGGACCACCCAGTTACCGATACCCTATTTTTACACATAGCGTGGAAGTACAAACCTTCACAACCGATAGGAGACCACCCACTTTGACCATGTCTATTGCGAGTAGTAAGTAAGTTTGTCCGCCACTCATATGGTTTCTTGTACATGTACACAGAACAGTGGTATCTGAGACAAATCTATATACTATATACATATTAGCATGTTTTTTTTTTATTCGGTAACTTTTGCATTTTTACCAATGGTCCCATGGAGGTGGTAATAGGGTAAACGGTACATGAACATATCCGTTCAGGATAAGACCAAGAATAACAGCAATAATAGTCGTGATATACATACCACTAAGTATGTAACACTAAGTATGTAACACTAATAAAACTGATAGATATCATATTTCCCGCAACAATACAAATTCTATAACACTGCTATTAGTGTTACTATTAGTGTTACTATTATTACTACTATTATTTATATTATAAGTGGTTTTAAATTGTTATTAGTGTTATCATTGCTTTTTAAAAGGCCACCCACAAAGGGACCCCCTGCCCAAGTCCAGCAGAGCCTAGGTCCAACGGGCGATTAAATGGCACGCAGAATGTGGCACCTTGGCGAGAAAACGCCGGGAAAAAACGGTGTGGGAAAGTACTGCGCCACAAGGGGAGACACTTGGTAGTTGTATTTTTTAATGTTTACCTTGATATTTAGAAAAGGCAATAGATTAGACCATTTTTTTACCTATCACTTGGTCATTGGTATCATTTTAGTTATCAATAATGTATCCGTTCCTATCTGGGGTGTTGGGAGCAACTGAATGTAACCAGGGAAATGCCCAATAAAAGTGATGAGTTTATCTAAGAATTGGTAAAACCAATAAAACCAACAAAAAAACAGATATAACCAACAAAAGATGGCGGCTGTTGGAAAATCTTTGGGCTATGTCTTGGAAGTCACGAAATGATAATGCCATGTAGGTTGGGTACTGCAGAGCACTAGACCCAGGCAAAAGCAAATCCCAAAAGATTTGATGATATCCAAAGAGGCAACAATGATGTATGCAAATATATGTAAATATATACATCATTTTATATCATCTATCCTATCTGAATAATCATATATATATATATATTATACATATTATCTAGATATGTCTTAGAATATCTAGTTGCATTTGTATATCTGTGTAATCTCTCACTCTATGTGTGTATATATGTATATATGTATGCATATACATATATATATATATATGTACATATTTATTGTCTATGTACATAGATGCATCTAGATATCCAGTATCCAAACATGCTTACCTATGTTGTTTGTGTTTTGCGTGTATCCAAACATCCATCCATCCGTTTGGGGTGAACAATTTTGGGATAGATGTGGCCGTGGTTCAGTAGACTACATGTCAAGCCATGCGGAATTCCCTTTATACTAGATATAGCCTGAAACACCCAAACACAGATGATGTGCTTTAAATCAACTTAATTTTGTAGAGGATTTGCCTATGGAAACAAAAACGACATGTCCAACAAGGCCTTGTTTGTTTATTTAAGATAGCAATTAGAACCAGTCAAAGCCCATCTTTGAGGCTAAAGCCTCACACTTGGTGGTAAATTACCCATTTTCATCCATTTTCACTGCCAGAATGACCATGTTCAATCATGTGTCATTGAACAATAACTAGTTGTTGATGGTAAAAACCAGATTTTTGATAGGCAAAACCACCTGATTTTTGATGGTCAAGTCGACAGTTTTTAATCCTAGACCTTCCCAGGTCAATAACTTCCAGTTGCAGCTGCAAACTCAAGAGGTGCTGAAGCGCGGAGGCGGAAACTCAAACAGGGATGGGTGTTTCTTAACCCATAGGATCCATGTATGGTATATATGCTAACGTTGGGGGTATATTGATGGTAAATGTTACCATATATAGCATACATGGATCCTATGGGTAAGAGAAAGTTTCGAAATTCATAGATCATCATGTCAGAAATATATTTAGCATACTTGAACTGACTCAGTTGGAAGAAATCTCGAGGTGACATATCCTGCTGATATCTGATAGCAGATGGTCCGCTACAGCAAACACAGGGAGTCACTTTTGTTTGTGGTTTTGCTTATGTTTTCCTCCCATGAATCTATTTCATGCCTACCGCTGCCTACCTTATCGCAGAATGTCTCTGAGAGTTTGTACTCCCAAAGTCCAGATTGATAGCAGGTAGGGAGCCATAGCCTGCTTTCATACTCAATCCTACACGCCCCCAGTGTTTGTTTACAGAACTACGTGCCATGCCTAAACATCACTAAACTCAGCAAGAGTACTGGTATCCATGAGCATCGGATCTATAATATGTATATATATATATATGGATATGTACATATGTAGATATGTAGATATGTCGATATAGATATACATATATAGGTATATACATGTAGATAATATATGCGCATCGCATCTTTGCCACGTTGTTAAAAACTGCCGGTGCCGGACTCACCGTAGTGCAGACGGAGGGTCTCCAAAGTTTCACCAAAAATCCTGCAGAGTACCAGGTGAAGAGGGTAAATCATTCATACATGGGCCATTCCATGCCATTTTATGTAACTTTTTATGCAATGTTTATGCAATGTTTATGCAATGTTTATGCAATTGTCCATATTTATGTTAAATTACTGGAGCTCCAGATATATATGTATATATATATATATTTTGATACTGTATGATATGACATTCTTGTACAGATGTTATATGCAAAAAATGATGCATTGTGGAAAAACACACGCACCATCACGACTCTCCAAGTACCTCGAAAAATCACGTAATTTCATGGCTACTTGGAAGGTGTAAGTACAAACAAACTACATAAACCCATTAATGTGGTAAACCCAAGAATATGGGTATATATTGAGAATTGATGATGGTTGGTTGATGATGATATAGTCTAGTACATGTCCATTATATACCCTCTGGTAAACTAACATAACTATGGAAAATCACCTTTTTTAATAGGTAAACCATCTATAAATGGGCCATTTTCCATGGCTATGTTAAATAACCAGAGGGTAATGAATTCCCATGTTTTTTTCCCAACATTTTCCTTGTCGAAGACATCCCCTGGGCCAGAGGCTACGACTATGAGTTGGCGATCACTAGCAGCGATGCTATGCGTTTAGCCAGCTGTGCGCAGCCGCCTTATGGCCTGCTGCTGGGCATGGAAATTAGTGCAAAACCAGAATGGGTGGGGCGGGTGGGGGGTGGAGCTGAAAACTTGAGAAAAAACATGGGAAAAGTTTGGGAAAATGACATTGATCGAAGTACTTCGGAAACTGATGGACATGGTGTCAGCGAGCGGATTTTTTTTGCAGTGAGATGGATTTGGGGATTTTCTGCAAAGAAACCCTTGGGATTGAAAGCAAGAATGATTCGGGATTGAAAGCATGCACCATGAGGAATGGAAAAAAACGAGCAGTTGAAGCGGTGGAGATTTCAGCAAATATCATGGGACTCAACAACCTCACTAATTTGCTTGAAATATACATGATCCCATCTTGTGAATTGCAGGTGGCTCAAGATTGACCAGCATTTACCGAGGTGTACCACCCAGCCAAAAATTCCAACTCATCAAGTGTATAGCACGTAAGGCTGCAATCTGCGAAACCTTTGTATTGGTACCGGTAATCTAGACTGACATTGGACAATATCCCATGATTTTCTTTCACATTTGTCCATATGTTCCAACGGCGATGTCCCGGTAAAGCCAGGTTAGGTTGCTGGAGACTAGATGGGTACATCTTTATTCATTGACCCCCTCAAATTGGATTGTTGATCCCTAAAATTACCACTTACCCTCCGGTAATCAAACATGACAGCTGGAAATCCAGGAACTAAATGCAGGTTTCTAGCTGGGAAAATCATCGATGACCAGTCATGATTTGCGGGTCTATTAGTAAACGAATTTTAGGTCGCCATGGCCAGATGATGAGATGTTTGTTTCCAAGGATTGGCTGAAGAGAACATTTGCAGGAAACCTCCAGGTAAATCATGATTTAAATCTTAAAACCAATCCGATTATAGATTTTTGTTAGTTAAGATCCATTCTTGATGGTTATGGTTATTTATTCCCAACATGTTCCATAAGATTCACCCAGAAAAAACACACACATCATTTTTCATGTTCGGTCCCGGAGTCCCGAAGTCGCCGCCTGCAATGTCCAGGTTGCTCTGTAGCTCTCAGGCTGTCTGTGGGTTTCTGAGAGCTGTCTGGACATGAAAATGGGGATACCCTTTGGTAAATTAACATAGACCCTGGCAGATAGGGGTTGGAAGATTAGTTTCCATTAAAAATTGGTGATTTTCAGGGTCTATGTTAATTTACCAGAGGGTAAAATGGAAGTATATCGCCAGGATTCCCCAAGTTATGGCCCCTTAAAAAACCCTCGATACTGATGATTGTGCCCTGGAAACGAGCCGATGTTCAGAAAAAGATCCGACACTAAAGTTTATAAAGTCACTGACCTTCAGGAATCTATGGGTATCTATGGGTCTTACAAGACCCAGCATACACACTGATCTGGTGATTTATATTCATCTAAGGTTTCAAATAATTCATGTTTATTTCTGCTAGCGTTGGAACCGAAACAGACTATGTGGATCTATATGGTTCCGTGAACAGGACCGAGGCCTGTGAGGAAACGTCAAATTTGTTGGTCAAGTTCCCATTCTTCTATGTTTGCCTGTGTGACATGCACTAGTTGAATCAAAACTGTTTTGTTGTTTCGATCGACCACAAGTTTGATGGTGAAAATCTTCATATGGGTATGGATCAATACCTATTAATACCATTTTTAGGGGGATGAACATCCATTTACCAGCTATTTTGATGTTCACCAGGGGTCCAAGGTTTTGACACACTGCCATATTTTGGTGGTTGCATTTGATGAAACAACACTTTCAGAGTTTTAGGAACCATCTATGACAAGAATCCCCATCTTTCCTCCGCTAAGAATCCCATGTTCATGGAGGAATTTGCCTTTGTTCTCTGTGCAAAAAGCCATATTTTTGGGCTTAATCCCAATTTTGGGGTGATATCAAATCCATTCACATCCCCATTTATTATTTTTATTTACTGTGTTATTGATTATTGCTTATTAGTTTGTAACTAATACCACATTTATTGTGGGTTTAATGATGAGTTCCCCCTGAAATCCCCGGTTTTTGTCGCAGCTTCGATCCAGCCCCCTGAGATCGGCCGATTGAAACCCTGGAGAGGTTCCGGCCAGCGCCATTACTGAGCTCACATCGCGGATGCGGCAGCGCAATCCCAAGGTCTTGGCTGCTCGGCATTTGGATTAAACATAGTTTGGTTGATCTTGGTTGATCTTGGGTGATCTTGGTTGATCTTGGGTGATCTTGGGTGATTGGTGAATTTGTTGGGACTTATACTAGCTAATGTGTGATTATGATAAGCCATGGGAAAGCGTTTTCAAGCAACGGCTTTTTTAATGAGTTTTTGGGTCGTTTCGAGTCTGAAAATCGTGCACCCTATCCAGGGGATACTGTACCTTTTAAGACACAGCCCATTTGGGATATTTGGAACCCAGCTTAGAGGTGACAAGAAAGGATTCACCACATATTTGGAGGGTTGATACCCTCTGGTAATGACTAACATAGCTATCGAAAATGACCATAGAAATAGTGGATTTTCCCATCAAAAATGATTATTTTCCATAGTTATGTTAGTTTACCAGAGGGTAGTGACAAAACCTCGTCTGTAATTTGGAGTCAGCTAAGTTCTATCTGTGAGTCCCTTTCTCTCTCTGTACAGTTCGCATCTCTAAATTGACAGACACCAGATTCCAAAATTTGCTGTTTCCTGAGGCTAGAGAAGTGTTTGACAACTGGTCTACAGTAGCCTTCTTACAACTGGATTGTGAGGCTTGCCCCCCAATTGCTATAGGGCTATAGGCTGCTTTCAACTGCAGATTCGCCAATTGGAGCCGTAGATGATCCCCATGCATTATTTTTTATATCACACATGGTCGAGATAAATCCACATTATTTAGCTCTGTCAATCTTTGCTGCCCCACATTATAAGTCTTGTTACCCATTATAGATCACAAACCTGAAAAACAAAAAAAACTATTTTGGAGATAATGATGTCTGTGTTGACCATCCTTTCTATCAATATTCTAGCTACTACCCGTTATATATACCATTGTGAAACTTCACTAACCAATAGAAAATCAGTGGCCATTTCAGGAACCTAAATTGGAGTATCTAAATTGGAGGTACCTGCCAGATATTTGTGGTCGATCTAAGGGCTAAATTTCAGAGGATATACCGATATACCCCACAAAATATGGCCAAGAATATGGTCCAGTGCCTCCAGTTTACCTGAAATGGTCACTGAGCTGATTTGGGTTTGAGTTTTGAGTACCCCATTCCATCCAATGGTTCATCGTCATTTCTCTACTAACATTGCCATATCCGGAGGTACAAGACATATACAAATGTGCCCGCAAGTCTTGGGGTGAAAAAGCCAGCCACTCAAAAGGAGGGAAAAACTGCTACATTGCCATCTGGTTGGTGGTTTGGAACATGAGTTTTATTTTTCCATTCAGTTGGGAAAGTAATCATCCCAACTGACTTTCACTCCATCATTTTTCAGAGGGGTAGGTCAACCACCAACCAGTAGTGATATTTTTTGGATGATTATTAGGGATGGCTGGAATAATCCTTCCCATTGACTAATATGTTTCAAGATGGTTAAAACCACCAACCAGTATTGATGGAAGCCCAAAGTAGAGATTTGGATTAGTTACTGTATGAAATCAATATCAAGCATCATTAATCATCTATATATATATATCTATATAATCATCATTAACAAATTGAAACCCACCAACCAGCCATGTTAGTTTGGCTGGTCCCCGCCCCAGGCGTTTCTTTGCCACGACGCCAAGCAGTTGGGCGGCCTTGACGAGGCCACACAGAATCTCATCGACCAGCAACAGGTGGCAGGGGTGTCTTGGCGGCCGATGCCTTGAAAAAGGAGAATCTGATGTTACCCTCTGGTAAACTGTCACATAATTATGGAAAATCACAATTTTCAATGGGTAAATCAACTATTTCAATGGCCATTTTCAATAGCTAAATGTTTGTTTATCAGAGGGTAGATAGCCATAACTGGGGAGGAAGTATGAATATGATGATTGAATAAGTGTAGCCATAACTCCATTATAGCGATACATACACTGCATTCGCTTGATATTCATCGTCATATTCATTCCATTTTCATAGTTGTAGCTGAGTAAATTCGATGCCATCACTAACTTAAGATGGAACACCCCCAGGACAGCCAGCGTTCGCTCACCTCTTGCGAGTCCCTGAATGGTGACCAAGCCGCTAACTTTTGGACCATTTGCTGTACCAAAATATGTTATTTACCAACGGCACCAACCAGATGGGGTGAAAATGGGTGAAATCGTCCACAGTTGCTGTGATATTCCCATCTATTCAAATCTTTGTCAACTATCAGTGATCATCCGTGGTATACAGTATGCACTTGCCCCGTTCTTGATTTTGTTTAGACCCCTGATCTGGGTTGCCAACAATCCCTAAATCGTTGTGCATGATAAGACTTAAGACGAGCCCTATCACTGATGGCTTGCATCATCATTACATCTTCCATTTGACAATTCTATACCATGCTAAACCCAAAAACATTATACAGTATAGTTCCAGATGTTTATCTTGGAATTTATGGATGTTCCTTGGATAATCTAAGTATATACCCTGTTATGTGTGGTTGAAGATCACCATGGTATACCCATGATACCCCAATTTGATAGGTTGAAATCAAATCCAATGACTGTCATATGTGTGTTTATTATATCCATGCTATATCCCCATTATATTGCCATTACATATCATATGGTATCCCAATTACATCGCAGGAAATATCCCAGCTTGTTTCGTGGTTCAAATCCAAGTTACCTCTCCTTATCCAGAGGTTGGTGTCAGACCACATAGTTGTTGAAATGCCCTCTGGTAAACTAACATTGCTATTGAAAATGGCCATTTATAATGGATTTACCCATTAAACATGGTGATTTTCCATAATTATGTGACAGTTTACCAGAGGGTACTCCTACAATGGTGGTGCCCCTTTTTGTTAGCTTCGGATAGTAACCATGGTGGATATCTTTTTCAGGGGCGCCACGACTTGCCATATCCCCAATGATTGCCAAAGTACGAGTTTGATTTACCAACATTTGCCAAGTTGTGGCCCAGATTTGGTGGGTAAAAATGGGTACCCTCTGGTAAACTGTCACATAACTATGGAAGATCACCATTTTTTATGTGTAAATCAGCTATTTCAATGGTCCATTTTCCATAGCAAACTGTTAGTTTACCAGAGGAAAAATCATCCCTTCAACCCTCCTTTGGAGACGAGGTCATCTATCGCCCCATCACGCGCAGCGCCCTTCAGCGCGCTCTTCGTGGGCACCCTGAAGCCAATGTGCAGCAGCTCGGCGTGGAGCGAAATCCATGCGAAATCCTAAGGAAATCGGCGTGGAAAATGGTGGATGTTCCATAGCTGTGTTAGCTTACCTAAGGCTTTGTGGATGATAGAACTATCGTCTTCATGGCCACCTACTAGGGAGTTTACAATGAACAAAGCCCAAAATATGTGGATCACACGTGCATAAAGGGCAATTTTACGCACGAAAAATGTACACTGAACGTGATTTACAGCAATCCATTGGAGCAGTAAACATGCTGAGTTGAGCGCAGCTCCAATGAGATCGTGACTCAACCATAAAATTTCATGTACATAATTGTACACATAAATTCACAATGTATGTATATATCTATATGATATATATGATTGTATATGTATGTATACATATAGATGGTCTCAACATGAAACTTGAAAGGCTCGGGAAAAAAAAGCACACACTGAAAAGAAAACAGGTCATCTTAAAATCAACCACCCAATTGTTGGGACACCTGCTTGTGGAGGGTCGAATTTGGCCAGCTGCAAACTGTGCGAGATGTGAAGCGGCAAGATGGTGAGGTTGTTTCACTTTGAACTCCGTCATGGCTTTCCATGACGACTTAATTTTGGATGATAAGGCCATATAAGGCCTGCAAAAATTTTCTGTAGCCGCTGGAATCATGAATTATTGTGTTGTTTTTCTATGTTTCAACAGGTTCTGTACAGAGAGGAGACACCAACTGACCAGAACCGATGTAGGCTTGTCCAAATATGGGCTATACCATGATCATGGTATAACCATCGTATACCCATTTTTTTTTGGAGTAAATCATGGTAAACCAAGAAGAACCAGTCCATTTTGGAGCCATGTTCCATGGTGAGCCACCCTGGTGATGTATCCTCCAGCCAAGGTACCCGACCTGCGGCATGGTGAAAGAGGATATTGTGGACCTCCTCAAACTCAAATTGGGGAGTTTGTGATGGTTCGACTGTCGGCGATGCTGAAAAAAAGTTTGGCAAAGGCGAAGATCTGCGAAGACGGCGAAGATCAAGAAGAGGTTAGAAGCAACGTGTGGTGAACTGTATAAGAGCAACAAATCGGGTCTCACAATTCTTGCAGCAACTACCTACCAACGGGTGCAGATCTTTTCTTTTCATGGACCGAAATGCCTTGCCTGCGTGAAGCATCCTCGTCAGATGAAGTAGGTATTAGTTAGGCAGGCAGATTGTAGGCAGGTGTCGTCTCACGAATTATCAGATCTCTGCGGCTGTGCTGCCGCATGTCATGATTTTTTTCCATGTGGTGGTTGCTCTCCAAAAGACTTCAAGATCTTTCACGTGGACTGCCCCTTTGGGGGTAGCAGCTCCTAACATTCTCAGTGGATCACCACGATCTTGGAGTTGAACCGCCATATTTTACCGGGTCGCATGGAGCAGCCTGCTGCTCGGGTGCCAAAGAACTCGGACCTCTGGATCTCCATCAAAAATCGTCGTGAAGCGACGATCACCCCCAGACCCAGCGAATCCGTGTTGTGACAAAAACTGCAAACGAAGTTAAACGAAGCCTTTCTCCAACCAGACTCAATGAATTTTACAATTTTTACACGGATATGGATCAAACAGATTAAACATGGTAGAAAACAATGCCTTCAAGTCTTGGTTCCGGTGTCAAAACCCGCTGGGCGCTGATCTCCGGCGATGGGCAGATCCTCCCGAGGACATCCGAAGGATGCGCAAAAGATTGTTCGCTGCTTCACTTGGGTTGAGATTCGATGTCCATCTCCTGTAATTTGACATCGTTATGGAAAATGGCTATAGATGATTATATGAATTATCTATGAGGACATGATGATTTTCCGTAGCTATGTCAAAATACTACTATTACTATATAGATCATTGCACATGGAATCAGCAACTGCGAATCGTGTTTTTTTGTTTGGTAAAAATGTACCCCAAGTTATAGCCATCAGAAACTGCGATGGTGAGAGAATGGGGTACCCCAAGTTATAAACCACGTGATTTCGGGCTATCCATGGCCATGGGTATCCTATTCTCAGACAACGTCAGCCCATGAATATCATGAATGATGTGTGATTGGACCTAAACAGAAAACTATAGCAAACTATCAGTCTGTCAGTATATGTTCTTCATTTTTCTTTTATAATTGTTCTATTTTCTCTTGGAACCGCTATAAATCTTTGGTTTTTGCTGGTCAAATGAATGGTTTTGTTGTTCCTATCCTTCCAAGATCCCAGGTTCAGAGCCCTTGCCTCGCTTACCGCGGCCACGTTTGGGCGCTGTCACGTCGGCGCTGGAAGTGAAACGATGCGTCGCCGGGAAGCTGGTGCGCCCGAAGCAGGAAGTTCAGCGGGGATTTTGCATGGCAGGATTTTGATGAGTTACATGGTATAGCATAGAGATGAATAGGATGAAATAGGGATCATATAGGATGGAATAGGGATCATTTAATAATCATTTAATGATTATTTCAAATTATTTCCCATCTTTTGTCATTAGCCATGTGACCCAGCCACGGAGAATGATCTAGATATGCAATTAAAAGGCATGGCTATGTTAAACCACCGGAGGGACGTACAGGTCAAGATATTTTTGTTTCAACAAACATCTGGATATAGTATGGTCCTTTTTGTACTTATAAATCGAATAGCAAAGAGGTGTCGTTTCATTCATTTGTTCCGTGGATAATCATCCCAATGGCACATATTTTCCAGAAAATGGTGGATAGTGATAGTGATAATGGATGATAATGGCATATAACGGCTATTTTGGCAGGTATTTTTTTAAAATTATTTTATTATGTTTATTATTAGTATTATCATTATATATATATATATAACATGAAAAACAAGACATGGGAATTGATGCAGTGCCCCATTTTTGAACCAAGACCATGGTCCATTTTTGGCGGTCCGCGCGTCGAAAGAGTTCCGTCGCCCAGGTGCTACTGTTAGACCATCGCGAGGCCTGATGAAATTGTTCCCAAAAACATCTAATGGGAGTATGACTTGCATTTTTCCAACCGGAAAATCCAGAAAATCACCTGAAATTTGATGCTGATTCTAGTGATTCTGGACATTTGATGATCTCAGCAAGTACCTGGTGATACTTTTTGGTCATTTCTGGCCTCATCCGTGCCACGTCTCGCGTCGTTAAGTTCGACCCCCTGGGATGATCTCAAAAAACAGCCACAGATAGGAACCCTCTGGTTATGTCAAAATAGCTATTGAAAATGGCCATTTATAGTCAGTGTTCCCATTAAACATGGTGGATCTTTCCATAGTTATGTGACAGTTTACCAGAGGGTATAGGAATTACATGTGGTCAATACGTTGAAGAGTCCCTTAAATTTGGCTCGCAGTAGGGGAACTTTTCAACATGGCTACAAACTCTAGCATGCTTGAACTCTTGGGATTGTCCAAATATGGGTCACGGCCATTGTAAAGGGGATGATTATTCTGACAAGAGTGGGATGACATCATATTGTTCCAACATGATCAAAACAAGAAGAGCGGACCTACACTACCCCGCCAAGAAATACCAAAAGTATTCCAAAAGTCATGTTCCACCAGAAAAATCGATATAGATTTGTTTGAATCGTTTTTGTTTTTTTTCATTTTTTGTTCCTGTTCCAACAAAAATACAATAATAATATAATATTTTATATAAATAAATATATATATATGGTGGTGTGTCCCGTGTTCCCACCCCTCCCCCCCAGGTAGCAACCCCTTCCCTTCTATTTGAAAGCTATTGGCAGCATTTCTGAGGTCCAGCCTCATATTTGCTAGGTCTTTGCAGCATTTCTGACTACCAGCCACACATACACACACAGAGACAGACAGACAGACAGACAGACAGACAGGCAGACAGACATAGATACACAGATACATAGATACATAGATACATAGATGCATAGATACATAGATACATCGATACATAGATACATAGATACATAGCTACATAGCTACATAGATAGATAGATAGATAGATAGACAGATAGATAGATAGATAGATAAATAGATAGATAAATAGATAGATAGATAGATAGATAGATTGATGGATAGATAGGATTAGATTAGATTTGTTTGTATTAGATTAGATAGATAAGATAGATAAGATAAGATAAGATAAAATAGATAGATAAGATAAGATAAGATAAGATCATATTAGATTAGATAGCCAGATAGATCCATCCATCCATCCATCCATCCATCCATACATCCATCCATACATCCATACATCCATACATCCATACATCCATACATCACCACCCATCACCAACATCGGAAACACCCCACCACCACAGGCCACGGGGGGGGGAACCGTAAGAAGCAAGACTGAACACCCATCCCCATTGGGGAAGGCTGGCCGACGCTGAACCATATATATATACATTATAGATATAGACATTATACCATTATATAATTATAGATATAGATATACCATATACATTATATTATATATATATATACATATCATCACACCTAGATCTAGATTCACTATATTTGTTTCCTATGTTTTGTTCTATATTTTCGCCAGGTGGGCGCCAGCAAGGAACACACCTTGAAGGGCGCCATGTTCAGCGAGCTGCAGAAACGTTTGGGGCTGGCCGTGGAGGCGCGGTCGCTGCCACTGGGCGATGTCTTGTGGATCTGGAGAAACGAGGTCACCGGAGAGGCAGGAAAAAGGGGAACAAGGGGCTGTGGTTTTGTGAAACTTATTAAATGGGATATGATAGTGTATATATATAATATAATATGTATATTTGATTATATAAATATATATGATTATATATATATGATTACTAATATATATATATATATAATTGCCTATGACATATAAGGTATATTGATCATAATTCTATGAGTATACTACACTGTATTTGCTGTCAAGAGGGGATGGATGGTGCTGTCAATCCATCTTTGGTGCTTAAATCTCTGCAGAATCAACTGCTATTCTAAATCATGACAGCAATATACCCATATGTATACCCACTATTGTGAAGCCCAGATACGAATAAACATTCTGTGCTGTTTAAGTGGGGAGGACCACTGAAGTTCCACAACTCTCTTTCTCTCTCTCTCTATATATATATATACATATGTATACATATATATATCGCTAATTAATACCAATTCGGGGGGGAACCCCCACAATTAATCAACGAGGGATTATCAGTCTGGGATCGACAATGGGTATGTGTGTTGTAATGGCTATGTGTCAACAATCAAACGATATCAAACGTGGAACGTGGGGATAATTGTTTATTTGCATGTTCTATCATAGTGAATATACAACCAACTGCATGAGTATATGACTGCGACAATTAAGTATAATACCCAGTCGGAGTATGAACCACTATATAACGATATAAAAAGCTTAGTGATTGATTTTATCACCAAAGACTTTAAAGATGGATTTCAACCACCAAAAAATGGCAAGGGGCTATCGTGATTTCATGAGATGGTGGTATTTTTAGGCACGTAGCCTCTGGTAAAGTGACATAAAGCTATGGAAAATCACCATTGTTAATGATCAAAGGAAGTTTAGGGGGAGAAACTTCCGTGTTACGGACTTTTAGAATGTCAGGGAAAGAGTTAGTCAAAGAAAGAGTTAGTCAAAGAAACAGTTAGTCAGGGAAAGAGTTAGTCAGGGAAAGAGTTAGTCAAAGAAACAGTTAGTCAGGGAAAGAGTTAGTCAAAGAAAGAGTTAGTCAAAGAAAGAGTTAGTCAAAGAACAGTTAGCCAGGGAAAGAGTTAGTCAAAGAAAGAGTTAGTCAGGGAAAGAGTTAGTCAAAGAAACAGTTAGTCAGGGAAAAAGTTAGTCAAAGAAAGAGTTCGTCAAAGAAAGAGTTAGCCAAAGAAAGAGTTAGTCAGGGAAAGAGTTAGTCAAAGAAACAGTTAGTCAAAGAAAGAGTTAGTCAAGGAAAGAGTTAGTCAAAGAAACAGTTAGTCAGGGAAAAAGGTAGTCAAAGAAAGAGTTAGTCAGGATATATGAGGTAGTCAAAGAAAGAGTTAGTCAAGATATATGAGGTAGTCAAAGAAAGAGTTAGTCAGGATATATGAGGTAGTCAAAGAAAGAGTTAGCAAAGAAAGAGTTCGTCAGGGAAAGGGTTAGTCACAGAAAGAGTTAGTTAGGGCATTGATTGTTCCCGCAATGCAAATGGGATTGCAAGTGGTGCTGGTGGATGAGTTGCCGATGGAGTTGTGAAGGAAGTCTCGCACGAAATGCGTTTTTGAGAGATAGCAGATGCACGAAACCCTATGTTTTTCCATACAAAGTCCGTCCCCGAACCTCGATGATCTACCTCTGCGGTGCGACGGGTGCGAGACGGTCTCGTGTGTGGTCGGATCATGCTCGGATCGGTCTCGGATCGGTCTCGGATCATTCTCGGATCGGTTCCGCATTGTAAATGGGGTGTCAACTGTTTTTCGTGCTGCACGAAACCCTATGTTTTTCCATACAAAGTGTGTCCCCGAACCTCGATGATCTACCTCTGCGGTGCGACGGGTGCGAGACGGTCTCGTGTGTGGTCGGATCATTCTCGGATCGGTCTCGGATCGGTCTCGGATCATTCTCGGATCGGTTCCGCATTGTAAATGGGGTGTCAACTGTTTTTCGTGCATGTGTGGTCGACAGAATTCCATTGTGATTTGCAACTGTAGGATCGTTCCCGCAATGTAAATGGGATTGCAAGTGTTGCTGGTGGATGAGTTGCCGATGGAATTCCATTGTGATTTGCAACTGTAGGATCCTTCCCGCAATGTAAATGGGATTGCAAGGTTGCTTCCTGCTTTGGCTGCATGCGTAATACTATTGTCTTTTGCAGCTGGACTTCGTAAATCGTATTGGAGTGGCTGCATGAAGGCTGCGACAGTGATTTGTCAGCAGATTTTCTCCATTTTGGCGCTAGTGATTTTCCTTTTAAAAATCCTTTTAAAAAGTGCTTCAAAATCGTCTTTTTTTCGCTCTGGCGTCGAGATCCATCCGGTTTTGGAGCTACAATTTCCGACGCCGTTGCGCGTAGTTCTATTGTGTTTTGCAACTCAGTCTCTGCAGATCGCATTGTAATGGCTGCGTCAAGGTTGCTTCGTGCTGTGGCTGCATTCGTAATACTAGTGTCTTTTGCAGCTGGATCGCGTAAATCGTATTGGAGTGGCTGCATGAAGGCTGCGACAGTGATGTGTCAGCAGATTTTCTCCATTTTGGCGCTAATGATTTTCCTTCTAAAAATCCTTTTAAAAAGTGCTTCAAAATCGTCTTTTTTTCGCTCTGGCGTCGAGATCCGGTTTTGGAGCTGCAATTTCCGACCCAGTTGCGCGTAGTTCTATTGTGTTTTGCAACTCAGTCTCTGCAGATCACCACATTGTAATGGCTGCCCGTCAAGGTTTGCTCGTCGTGCTGTGGCTGCAATTCGAAAACTCTTTGTCTTTTGCTTTTTGCAGCTGGATCTCGTACATTCTTATGGAGTGCTGCATGAAGGCTGCGACAGTGGATTTGTCAGCAAAGAAAAAAAAAAAATTTTTTCACATTTGGCGCAATATTTTTCCTTCTAAAATCCGTGTAAAGTGCGTCAAAATCGTCTTTTTTTTCGCTCTGGCGTCGAGATCCGGTTTTGAAAGCTACAATTTCCGACGCCGTTGGCGCGTAGTTCTAATTGGTGTTTGCCAAATCAAGTTCTGCCGATCCTGTATGGCTGCGTCAAGGTTGCTTCGTGCTGTGGCTGCATTCGTAATAGTATTGTTTTTTGCAGCTGGATCTCGGAAATCGTCTTGGAGTGGCTGCATGAAAGCTGCGACCTGGATTTATTAGCAGATTTTCTCCATTTTGGCACTAATGTTTTTTTGCTGCGCGTAGATTTAGAGCAGTGCGAAGTGTGGGGCGTGAAGAGTGCAGTGTGAAGCGTGAAGTGTGAAGGAAGCAGTGTGAAGTGTGGAGTGTGAAGTGTGGAATGTGAAGTGTGAAGTTTAAGTTTGGAGTGCGAAGAGCGCAGTGTGAAGTATGAAGTGTGAAGTGTGAGGTTTGGAATGTGAAGGCAGCAGTGAGAAGTGTGAAGTGTGGAGTGTGAAGTCTAAGTTTGGAGTGCGAAGAGCGCAGTGTGAAGTGTGAAGTGTGAGGTTTGGAGTGTGAAGTGTGCAGTGTGAAGTGTGAAGTGTGGAGTGTGAAGTTTAAGTTTGGAGTGCGAAGACCGCAGTGTGAAGTGTGAAGTGTGAGGTTTGGAGTGTGAAGGAAGCAGTGAGAAGTGTGAAGTGTGCAGTGTGAAGTGTGAAGTGTGGAGTGTGGAGTGTGAAGTTTAAGTTTGGAGTGCGAAGAGCGCAGTGTGAAGTGTGAAGTGTGGAGTGTGAAGTGCGAAGTGAGAAGTGTGAAGTTTGGAGTGTGAAGTTTGGAGTGGGAAGGAAGCAGTGAGAAGTGTGAAGTGTGGACTGTGAAGTGTGGAGTGTGAAGTGCGAAGTGAGAAGTGTGAAGTTTGGAGTGTGAAGGAAGCAGTGAGAAGTGAGAAGTGTGAGGTGAGAAGTGTGAAGTGTGGACTGTGAAGTGTGGAGTGTGAAGTGCGAAGTGAGAAGTGTGAAGTGTGAAGTGTGAAGTTTGGAGTGTGAAGGAAGCAGTGAGAAGTGAGAAGTGTGAAATGTGGAGTGTGAAGTGTGAAGTGCGAAGTGAGAAGTGTGGACTGTGAAGTGTGAAGTGTGAAGTGTGAGGTTTGGAATGTGAAGGAAGCAGTGAGAAGTGTGAAGTGTGGAGTGTGAAGTCTAAGTTTGGAGTGCGAAGAGCGCATTGAGAAGTGAGAAGTGTGGAGTGTGAAGTGTGGAGTGTGAAGTTTGAAGTTTGGAGTGCGAAGAGTGCAGTGTGCAGTGTGAGGTGTGGAGTGTCGAGGGAAGGACACGGTCGGGACAGGTTGTCTTTGAACTATAGGTCATTTATGTTTGGGAAACTTCCGCCGCCGGCTTGCCCGGGTCTATGTTAAATCAACTATTAATGGCAATTTTCAATAGCTATGTTAAATTGCCAGAGGGTAATAGTGGTGAATCGTGGTTAATAGTGGTGAATACATGGCTAAATCAATTGCAAATGAACATGTTCATCATGACCATATGTGAAATTGCCGGAGGGAAAATGATGGAAAGTGGATGTGGGGTACAGAAGTTCCAACCAGCCAGAGGTGTCAGAATTCTGGGCCAGCCTTTTGTGTGCCAAAAATGGCAACCCTTTTGTCACCGCCAAGGAGTTTTTCCCGATGCCATCAATGGATCCATGTTAAGCGGAAACTCCAATGGTCCAATCCCCCAGTGGTCAGTGGTTACCCTCTGGTAATTTAACATAGCTATTGAAAATCACAATTTTTAATGGGAAAATCCACTATTTCTATGGCCATTTTCAATAGCTATGTTAGTCATTACCAGAGGGTAGTGGTCAAATTTACTGGCCACCCTGGCCGCGTCTGAAGAATGGCCGGCAGGAGTTGGTCTCCGGTTGGATCGTGGAACGCAAGACCTTCGCAGATTTGAGCTCATCCATTTGTGATGGACGTTACGATGAGCCCTGGATCCAGCGAGGAAGTCGAGCTTCGAGGTGGTATTTGGATCTAGGGTGTGTGTATATATATATATACACATGTATTATATGTAATGTATATATATATACAATATATATGTAATTACGTATGTTTACATAATATGTGTTTTCTTAATTATTTATGTGCAAATGTGATAGTTATTGATATGTATTTGATATGTCATATACATGATGTCGCCTCTTGACAGCCCTGGAAGTGGCGACCCCGATCCGACTTCCCTGAGCTAAGGACTCCCCTAGGCAAACATGGTCTCCACGTTTCTTGGTTCGGGTGGTTCAACGATGGAAAATCATCAATTCAACGATGTTCCTAGATGTTTTGCAGTTTTTCTTGGTTAAATCCACATCTTTCCAATTCCAATAGACAGTAAATCCACATTCTCTTGGTTGAATCCACATTAAATCCACATCCAGGACATGTTTTTGCCAAATCCAAATCTATCCCTAGTGCTCCAAACACCATCTGAGAAGGTACTTAGACCCCAAACAATACCCCCAAGTACAGTCTCAGAAGCAGTTTGAAGCTGTAGGCTGTATTGAACAAAATGATGAAGAACACCAATTTATACATATGTATATATATATATATATATATACATATTATACCTAATTCAAATATAGAATAGTACATGTCTATAAATACATAGACATATTGTATTACACATATATTTATACATTTATACATATGTAGTACACGTATATTTATACATAGATACAGAAATATATATGTATACTATACTTATATATATATATATATATAGTATGTTTGTTAGCCCACTTCTGCCGTGCCGTTTGAGGAACAGAAGGGCCGCTTGCTGGAGGCTCCCAACCTCCGCGGCGTGATTTTCCTGGTGGAGGGCAACGCTCCCTTGTTCGGCGTCGAAGATGGTACCTGGGATCTGAAAAAAAATGGAGGAACTGCAACCAGGGGCTGGTCACTTGTTGCTTCAAAAAAAAAGATCCTGGAAGTGAACATGTTTGTTTTGAAAGTGTGTATATATATATATATAGAAAAAAATCGAACCGTTTGTTTTGAAAGTGAAATCCTGGATGAAGCCATCTGAAATGGAGATGCAACCAGCAAAAAAACATTCTGAGTTCCCCATCAAACATAGCGATAAACGGACTGGTGAATTGCATGTTATACAAAGCTACATACCCTCTGGTAATTTAACATAGCTATTGAACATGGCCATTTATAGTGGATTTTCCCATTGAAAATGGTGATTTTCCATTGCTATGTTAAATTACCAGAGGGTAACTGGGGTGTGGTTGAACATGGTGAATTTACTTCAATTGATGACAGTTTCAAAGGGGATGATGATTAACCATGATTAACCATTGGAATTTGGGGTGCCACTTTTGGACAAACCGGCATACAAACCAATGACAATGATTTGCGTTTAGCCCACAAATATGATTTGACCTTAGAGACAATTATGTAATTCATAATCGTCTGGTATACACTGTCATTGGTTTAAATGCATTGGGGCGAAGGAGACTCCTTTAATGGGTTGGTTTAAGGGAACATTTACAGAACCAAAAACTGCAATGTTCATGTCATGGGAAAAGCCCATGGTTTCCTGCCGACTTCCCCAAACCAATCCAATCGAAGCGGCGTTGGCTTGATCATTGGCGCAAACTTCCCCAACGGGAACTGAAGAATTGAGGCCACGTGAATCAATAATAAGCCAAACACAATTAGGATTCAATAGTAAACACATCCACAACATACTTCTGGTTGGTGGTTTGAAAGATTTTGTATTTTTCCATTCAGTTGGGAATTATACTCCCATTTGACTTTCATGTTTTTCAGAGGGGTAGGTATACCACCAACCAGGTTGTTATTCAAATCCTCCACCTTGGGCCGTTCCCATTAGGAGCTTCAACATGCCACTCCATGCATCCAATCATATCCATACCACTAAGATAGCATATTTATAGATAAGTAGAACTATATACAATTAAATACAATTATATACATATATCATATATCATAGGTACATTCCACACATATTATATATATACATAATTATAAATATTCAGAATATATTCTATCTTAGTGGTAAGAGCTACTATATGGGTTTCGTCGAAAATATATGGTAGCCCATATTTTAAGTTGGATGGCCCATCCGTGCCCCATTTTCGGACCCAAATATCAAGTAATGAGATGGGCAGGTATTATATCCTCATGAACTGCCCTCCAGTAAACTAAAACAATTAGCTATGGAAAATATGGCCCATTTATAGATGATTTCGCTGTTATAGTTTAATGGCATTTTTTTCATTTTCCATAGCAAACTGTTAGTTTACCAGAGCGTATCCCAATTATATCCCATTCAATTCCATGAAAAATCATCATCTTTGATGCTTAAATCCCATTAAATCACATTTTTTTGATGGTTAAATCCCATTTATCCATTGGATATCCATTGGATATTTGACGGTCCAGTGGTCCAGCTCCAGGTGCTCCAAAGAGCAGCCGTGGCTTTGGGCAGCGCCTCGGGCCGCGGCTATCAGAGAAGGCACTGGCCACCAGTGCCACCAATACGCAGCTGATCTCAGGCGCCCGCGTAATCCGAACGCGGAACGGAGCGGAGCAGCGGATGACTTTGGGACATTTTTTGGTCTGATTGGTGTGTGTGTGTGTGTTCAGCATGAGTTGATGTTATTGTTTTGATGTTTAAAGATATTGAGTTGTACATGGCATAGTCAACTAATGCGATAGTTGTGTGAATTATGTTGCGATGACGTCAAAACGTCAATGACGCCCGGTCTTTAAAATCTGACTGGGTATGAATATGTTCACAGTATGTCTTTAAACTTTAAAACATATTTTGGATGATCTAATGTCCCAATGTCTTTCAGATGTTTGGCACGCACAATCACCGTGTTTTATCCAGCCATCAGTTGTCGACTGGGGTACCATCATCATCATCCATCATCAACCCTTATTTTTGCGGTTGATTGCCCTTTGGCAAACTAAGGACCTCATGGAAAATCCATACTTTTACTAGATGAGTCAACTATACATAAATGGGACATTTTCAATGGTTCTTCGTATGTTTACCGGAGGGTACAGTACAGTAAGCCCCAAACTTGTTGGTGGTCAACGTTGCGGGCGTTGTTTTGGGAGGACTTAGGTGAGCTTAGACACAGGGACATCAGCAAAAACATGAATGAACATATCATGAACAAAAGTGTATGAGTGGATGATTCTGGGAAAACAATGGAACATGTGGGAATTATGGTGATAGTCAGGGGCCGGGGATTATTAGTGAGATATTATATGATATTAATTTGGACAAGTATTTGAGAACTATGGACACACACAGTCATTTGGTCCGACCCTTGAATCAAAATGGAAAAAACCAAACAAAGCTGTGCTAAAGGCAGGGTCCCCCCTTTTGGTGAATCGCCGATGGAAGCCTCAAAATCCCTCGGTTTCACCAGGCTTCAACGTTCTGCATTCTGCATCCATCCCGCATAGCGTTTCCCTCTTGGTGGCCTTGCACAATGCCTTGGCTCGCGACACAGGCCAGGGTCGACGACAAGGACAAGTCGGGGTGAGGGCAAGGAGATAGGCGAATGAACCAAAAACTGGAATTTGGATCATGTTTGATTTGATCAATATATCAATATCTTATTCCGAAAGTCGAGTTCAAAGTTATGATCAGCTTTTTTCATGGCCACCTTTAGGGTCCACGTATGATCATCCTACTGTGCAAGTACACACCAGCAGTTCGTAGCAAGGGCTTTCACCGGGGGTAGTAGTATCTGCAAGAAAACTAGGCAACCTGGAATCCCCAGTTGTCTAAAGGGCAGTGTCGCCAGAGTGTCTTACCGGAAAGTAACCTGCAGTCATTTTGATGATTTTTGATGGCCATTTCAGAGCTCGAGTTCCTGGTGTAGCCATTTTTATCCATTTTTCATGCCGCCATGTCCTCACTGGGCCCAGAGACATTTGGAGCTTCCAGATCTTCCAGCTGCTATGGCCATGGGCATGGTGACGATGATGTCGGAAATGTATCATTTGATCGGCTGGAGGATGAGGCGGAGGACGATGAGAATCTGAAACCCATCCGAAATTCGTTCTCTTCCTGGACCGAACCTCCGGATGAAAGTAATGATCCGAGCCCAACCGCTCGAGAGTTCGAACCCAACCGCTTGACGCATGAGAGTTACACCGATGATCTGGCTCGGTTTCTGAAGCTTGTGCAGCACAAGCAGCCAGAGTTCAGACAACTCGTAAAGTTGAGACGCCGAAAAAGCGGATTTCAGGAAGAACCCACCATCCTCATAGCTATTGGTTCGTTGTGCAGATGCCTGAGCGAAGCTATCTTTTAACAGTCAATAAAAACTCAACCTGAACAGGTTGAGAACTTGGCATGGCTCAAACGGATTGACCCCACCAGATGGATGATGTAAAAATATTGTAAAAATATCTAAAATTACTTTACTTCGTGTGATCCCCACCATGACATTTATACATTGTCTTACTGGCACATCTTCTGGCATTCTATCTGGCATATCTTCTGGCATATCTTCTGGCATATCTTCTGGCATTCTATCTGACATATCTTCTGACATTCTATTTGGCATTCTATCTGGCATATCTTCTGGCATATCTTCTGGCATTCTATCTGACATATCTTCTGACATTCTATTTGGCATTCTATCTGGCATATTTTCTGGCATATCTTCTGGCATTCTATCTGACATATCTTCTGACATTCTATTTGGCATATCTTCTGGCATATCTTCTGGCATTCTATCTGGCAAATCTTCTGGCATTCTATCTGGCATATCTTCTGGCATTCTATCTGACATATCTTCTGGCATTCTATCTGGCATTCTATCTGGCATATCTTCTGGCATATATTCTGACATATCTTCTGGCATTCTATCTGGCAGTCTATCTGGCATTCTATCTGGCATATCTTCTGGAATATCTTCTGGCATATCTATCTGGCATATGTTCTGGCATATTTTCTGGCATTCTACCTGGCAAATCTTCTGGCACTCTATCTGACATTTTATCTTCCTACATGAGGTCCGGCAGGGAACACTTGGCGTGGATACTCGCGGTTGAGGTCCGGCAGGGAACACTTGGCATGGATACTCGCGGTTGAGGTCCGGCAGGGAACACTGGGCGTGGATGGTCGTGGTTGAGGTCCGGCGGGGAACACTGGGCGTGGATGGTCGTGGTTGAGGTCCGGCAGGGAACACTGGGCGTGGGTGGTCGTGGTTGAGGTCCGGCAGAGAACACTGTGGATCGCGGGTCGCAGTTGAGCAAGGACGACGAGGACGACGAGGACGACGAGGAGGACGAGGAGGAGGAGGCGAGGAGGAGGACGAGGAGAAGGAGGAGGAGGAGGAGGACGAGGAGGCAACTGACATAAAATCTAACAACCCTCACCTGGCAGGTGGGGAACAAGGTTTTTGTTATTTTTTGTTTATGTTTGTTTTTTGTTGGTGCATTGCAGTGCATTGTTGGTGCATTCACATCGCAGTTTCGAGCCGTCATGACCTGTTTCTGCTCGCCCTATGTCTGAGTTTACTCGGATCTTCCGGCACAGGCAACAGCATGCAACAAGAGCTTGCTCAGCGCTGTTCAGATTTCGCCACGTGCCAGGGCGCACACAGAAGTACGGCAATTTTATGCAATTTTCTGCTGCAACGGCGGGATTCTGCTGCAACGGCGGGGTGAAAAAACGCAGGGAGCAGGTCCACTGTGTACCAATCCTATCCATAAAAACGTGCTTTTTGATCTCCTCGCCACTCAAATTTCAGAACACAGTGAGATTGATTTTTCATGCCCAGACCTGCAACTGGTGTCATGCTTCTTGCTCCATTGTTTGGGATGATGATATCATATGATATCCAATAGGCAAATAGGATCAAATAGGCTACTATATGTTACTATGTTGAACCGTTTTGGCACTCTACTCTTCAGGTCAACAGTACTGTATCTTTGTTAGGTACGTAATGCAATTGATATAGTCATCCTGAAGCAGATCGAATAGCCATAATAGCCATTCCATTTCAAGGCTTGTACCATTTGGCTGAGGTGGGATTTGTATCCTGTTTATCATATAGTGTTCCCAATTCATCTCCATTGGTCTTCCCTCTCAGGATTTATGTACAATTAGTACAATCTTTTAGTTGGTGGTTTTAATCATGTTTTTTCAACAATATTTGGGATGATTATTCCAACTGACGAGCATATTTTTGGGATATATAGGTGGGTCAACCACCGAGCAGCTGTTAACCATTGTTAACCTATACCAAGCAGAACATGCCTCGACTGCAGGTGATTTGCAAGGGGTGAGCTATCAAGACTTTGCCGAGCGCACCCAGAAACACGGCCAGCGCCGTGTCTTTGAGGCCCAGCCGGGCAATGGGGCAATAATGGGAATGTCAACCTCAGATTTACCCTCTGGTAAACTAACGTAACTATGGAAAATCACAATTTTCAATGGGAAAATCCACTATAAATGGTCATTTTCAATAGCTATGTTAAATTACCAGAGGGTAAAAACACCCTGATTGATTGGATTAATGTGGGGCGTTACCACCAAATAGTGATAATTTAGTTAATTTATGATAACTGCCACTAACACAGCCACTTCAACAGGCCCAGGGGTCTACCGTTGACAATCCGGACTCGACAACCCAGGGGATTGGTATCCAAAAAGGTAATGCAGTAGAACCGCTTGACGACGTGTTTAATTAAGCGGTTTCAAGTATATTAATGTATATTATTAACCTATATATTATGCCAAGAACAGGATCATTATCCCATAAAAAATCCCAGTTGACTGTTGAAGGTTTTGAAACCTGATCATTTGACTTCAGGATTAGCACCAAATGAACAGCTGCTGATTAAGTGAGTGACAATCAAGGTACCATGGTGTTTTTACTCATACTCATGGCCCATATCCCATATCCCATGTTGATGGTTTGTTGCTTCAATTTCTTTGAAGTTGTCCATGTTGCTTCATGTTTTTTCCCCAGCGGGATCTGTGACTGATTTTCAACAGGTGAGCTAAAGGATCCCATATCACCTCAAGCGCCGAAAAAGTGCCAGTTGCTGGCTCAATACATGGCTTTGTCTGAACATGTTGAGGGGGAAAAAACACTGGTGGTTCAGAACATGTTTGAAGACCATTTTCCCTTTTTAGACTACCATTTTGAGGGTATACCATGGTATAACACATATTGAGACACACCCAGATCGATCCCAACAACATGCATCATGATTTGCTGCGAATGTTCACTGATGTTTGTTGAAATGTGTTGAACATTCATGTGTCGTTCTGTTTGTTGATGGTTCACGAGTTTATTTCCCCGCTGGTTTTTGCTGTTTTGTGATGTTTAAAACTTGACGTGCACATGTTGGATTCCCCGCCTATTTTATTCAGAAACAACATCAAGAACGGCTTCAAAATTTAAAATCCCCAAAGATGGTGGAACTCCCAATGGGTTAACTTTTGGATGATTCATCCACGAAGATGACGGCCCCAATTACGTTCACACCATGGTGTTGGTCTTAAAATACATATAGTTATCCTATGTTATCCACAGATGAGGTAAGGTTCATATCATCTGGATGAAGATGTCATTTTAACACACCATCCTCATCCTCAGGTTTTCCATGCCTTAAACATACCATCCTGGCACCATAAAAGTCACCAATTTCCCAAGGGACCAGATACAAATTGTACAATCAGCAAACAAAAATCACTAGACATAGTGATATTATGTGATATTGATATACTGTATATTGATTATATATATACATATATACATTAGCTTTTCTTTTTCTAAGTTGATCACTCAATATATCATATGATATCCGCATGGTTGATATATTTCATTAATCATTCGTTATAGCATATTATATCCACACTATTCCATGAATATTTCAATACTGTAACACTGTAAGTGGTTTTGCTTCTATCCCAATATAATATATATATATATATAACCCAATGATCAAGCAGTATATTATCCCCATCATTGACATATTCCGTGAATCTTCCATGATGAACCCTCAGTAGTGATCACTCACTAGTGATAAGTTGAAGTGTTTCTCAAAACAAATCCCCCAACAATACTCAATGAATATCATAAATATCATATCATATCCCCATGATTGATATATTTCACTAATCACTCAGTATATCATAGTATGTGCCCATTATTCCATGAATATCCGAATACTGTAACTGTTTTGGCGCTTATCTTTATCCCAATATTATCCCAATGATCACTCATGATTTATATCTCCATTATAGCCCTATTATATCCCCATTTTATCTCACTATATCCCCAAATATATCCCCATTGGGATCCAAAAAAATGTCGATCATTTTCCCAATGGGAAACCATGGGTGAAAACCGCATCTTTAGGGTTTACCCGGCCTGGTTATGACTAACATAGCCATGGTATAGATGGCCCATAGAAATAGATGGTTTACCTATTAATAGCATGGGTGGATCTTTCCATGGCTTAGTCATAACCAGATGGTAAAAAAAATATGGAGGTTTCCCCATTTTATCTCACTCTCTCCCTGGGTTTTCCATGTGAAATCACGGGTAAACCCCCAGGGTATATCCCCACCATCCGCGTCGGCCAGGCATTTGGTCGCATGCTGCGGATGGTGCCTGGCTGCGGAGCCGAAGCCACCGAGGCGGACAACGTGAAGTCCATGGTGAACTTTGGGTTTTTCTTGTGTGGTTACCCTCAAACCGGAAAACCAAGGAAAATGGAGGTTTTAATGGAAAACCATAGGAAAACCATAGGAAAACCATAGGAAAATGAAGTTTTACCCTCTGGTAAACGTTTACATAGCTATGGAAAATCACCATTTTCAATGGGTAAATCCACTATTTCTATCTATTTCTAAATGGTCATTTTCAATAGCTATGTAACAAATTACCAGAGGGTATATTGAAATGAATTGACATTTAGATTCTGCTCAAATGTTGCTAGATTGTGGCTATAGATATAGTTAAACTATTTGCTTAAACATGCTTAAATCATTTTAAATATAGAGTTATATTGCTGGTCAAAGACACTCAAATACACACTGAAATCTTTTTTTGATATCAGTAGACTCGGATTTTTCCGTAGGATATATGGGGCTCCCGGAAACCTTGGGAAACCTTGGATGGGGAGACAATCAAAAAGTGGGCTTGTTTGACCACCGAAAAGAGGGATGTTCATCAATTCTTGTTTAAATGTATGGGATTGTAATGCGGGATATGAACCATAAATATATTAAACATGAAATTTTGATGGTGGTACAATGGGAAATGGGGATAGTCCAACCATCTAATTTTTTCCGGGGGGTTTTAGCAGCAATGACACCTGAGACGGATTGATAACTTTCCAAACTTGGAGATGTCAATGAAGATTGGTTTTTAGATCTAAGAAATTAGGTGGTGTGCCACCAACGACCCCCAAAATTGTATGGTTATGAATGATAGGACTTACTGTATCAAGACTGTGCCAATCAACAGGATTGGCTCAGAATCGACCGCCGGAAATTGTATGATTCAATCTAATTGAGCAGAACTTGTCGGTCCTTGTAACCCAAATTCTGAGACACATACAAATGATACAAATGGTTTTGCACAACGACATGGGATGAACATGTGGGAAACCTGGCCATAAACAAACCGACCATGACTGGGGATGGTAAACATAGCTAAAAGTGATGATTTCGGCGATTTCGGGGATGGTTTCTGTACTGCATGATATAGAACTGTTGTTTGTGAATCGGGAATTGGACGAATTGTTGACGAAAACATTAGGTTTTGTTCCTCTGAGCCAGATGAAATTAGTGATTTGATCAAATTCTACAGATGCTTCGTGCAGATGTACCAGCGCTGTGAATGATGTGTAATGGGTGCTTTGTAGATTCGGTCGGACATTGTGACACCATCAATTTTCAGCATCAACACAGTGAAAATTCAGCCCACGTTTCTGATACGTTGAGCCATTTTCATTGCTACTATGAGGCTTCAAACCATGTTGATCTGATAAAAGACACGTACTTGGATGACGGTCCCAAATGAGGTTCATATTTTCAAGATGGGCGAATCACGTGACCCAGAAGCCCCCCAAATGGCCAGCATGTTTCAACATTTGACTCTGGCCTGAATCGCAGACTGGTGATTGTTTGTTCTGCCCGATGGTCTTTGATTGTAATCTAATCCCAAACATATTCATATATGTAATGTAATATTATATATGTTATCAGCTAGTATATTACACATGGTCTCTGCATAGCCGTCAATGATGGTTGTTGAATAGTATATTCTCAAATGATCACCACTAACACACATTCTACATTGCATAAAGAAACGTGAAACAGTAGCATGATGGTTTGCTCGGCGTTTGCACCGGGCCCTGTGAGGAACTTGACCACATGATCAATCCCAAGATGCCCTGGCATTGTTTGACTTCCACTTATGTTTGTTCTTGTTTTTCTGTTTCCATGGTTTCACTAAATGTTTCCCTATACATACAATATAATATATACCCTCTGGTAATTTAACACAGCTATGGAAAATCACCATTTTTAGTGGGAAAACTCACTATAAATGGCCATTTTCAATAGCTATGTTAAATTACCAGAGGGTATATATCACGAAAGCCAGCCGAAGGCCTGGGCTTGAGTATAGGTATAAGCGAAGCGAAGCGAAGCTAATCTAGGGGGTGTGGGGGGGGGGAGGCCCGAAATCGGTCCGTTTTTGAAAGGTGAGGCCGGAGCCTGGGGGGGGAGAGCTCAAAAACCGACCTGCCGTTTGCCTGGTTTTTTGGGCCCGAACGAGATGCTCCATTTTGGACACTTGTTGGTGGTTTTCGACGGTTTTCATCGGGTTTCAAACGCCGAAACACTGTAATTTACGGTGTTTTTGTGCGTTTGGCCTGGCAAAAGTACGTCTTGCAACATGCTGAAAACTGCGTAAATACCACTGTTTTTGCTAGGTTCTGGCCATAAAACACTGTAAATACCGTGGTTTTTGGTTCCAGGAGCAAAAAACACCGCAAATACCGTGGTTTTGGGCTTGCGAGGCGTCAAAAAAACACGGTTTTTACGGAGTTTTTTGCTCCGAGAATGTTCAAAAAACACGAAAACACCACCTATTTGACAATTTTTCGGCTTTACCTTGTTGGTGGTTCTTGACGGTTTTCATCGGGTTTCAAATGCCGAAACACTGTAATTTACGGTGTTTTTGTGCGTTTGGCCTGGCAAAAGTACGTCTTGCAACATGCTGAAAACTGCGTAAATACCACTGTTTTTGCTAGGTGCTGGCCATAAAACACTGTAAACACCGTGGTTTTTGGTTCCAGGAGCAAAAAAACACCGCAACTACCGTGGTTTTGGGCTTGCGAGGCGTCAAAAAACACGTTTTTTTTTAAGGAGTTTTTTGCTCCGAGACTGTTCAAAAAACACGAAAACACCAACTATTTGACCATTTTTCGGCTTTACAAATGAAGGTAAAAAAAAACATGCCGCAACGTCTCTGTGTGAAGATGTTTCTATGTAAAAGCGTCTCTGTGTAAAAGCGTTTCTCTGTAGATATATCTGTGTGTACAAGGGTCTGTGTGTACAAGCTTCTGTGTGTAAAAGGGTCTCTGTGTAAAAGCTTCTGTGTGTAAAAGCCTCTGTGTGTCAAAGCGTATGTATGTAAAAGTGTTTGTGTGTAAAAGCGTCTGTGTGTAAAAGGGTCTGTTTGCAACATTCTGTGTATGCGTAAAAGGGTCCGTGTGTAAAAAGGTTCGTGTTTAAAAGTGTCTGTGTGTAAAAAGGTCTGCGTGTAAAAGCATTTCTGTGTCAAGATGTTTGTGTGTCCAACAGTCTGTGTGCTACTACGACTCTGTGTAAAAGCCTTTCCGTGTAAAGATGTTTGTGTGTAAAAAGGTCTGTATGTAAAAGCCTCTGTGTGTGAAAGCGTATGTGTGTAAAAGTGTTTGTGTGTAAAAGCGTCTGTGTGTAAAAGGGTCTGTGTGCAACATTCTGTGTATGCGTAAAAGGGTCGGTGTGTAGAAAGGTTTCTGTTTAAACGTGTCTGTGTGTAAAAAGGTCTCTGTGTAAAAGCATTTCTGTGTCAAGATGTTTGTGTGTCAAAAGCGTCTGTGTGTAAAGCTGTCCCTGCGTACACGGGTCTGTGTGTAAAAGCGTCTGTGTGTACAAGCGTGTCTGTGTGAAGCTGTTTGTCTGTAAAAGCGTCTCTGTGTCAACGTGTTTCTGTGTAAAGCTCTTGTAAAAGGGTCTGTGTGTAAAAGCATCTGTGTGTCGAAGTAAAAAAGCGTCTGTGTGTAAAAGCGTTTGTGTGTGTAAAAACGTTTGTGTGTAGTCTGCAAGGGTCTGTGTGTAAAAGGGTCTATGTGTTTTTAGCTTCACAATGCTGGGTCATAGCTTCCGTTGCTTGCTGTTCGTTCTAAAATTGTATATGTAGCCGTTTCCCGTTCTTCCCAAAAGCGAAATGCAATAGCCGGCCGAATGGCCGCCGAATGGCAGAAAATTGCTTCCAACAGGTTTCTGCTCTGGATCTGGCTCCAAAAGGCTCCTGGCCAGGATTTGGCCTAAAACGGCCGTTTCCCCTTGAGCCCAGAAGGCACTTTTCGTTGCCGGCCCGCAAGCCGCGAAAGTCTTAAAAGCTGGCTCCAAAAGGCTTCGGCTTCGGCCAGGATTTGGCTAAAAACGGCCGTTTCCCCTTGATCCCAGAAGGCCCTTTTAGTTGCCGGCCCGCAAGCCGCGAAAGTCCCACAAGCTGGCTCCAAAAGGCTCCGGGCTTGCGAGGCGTCAAAAAACACGTTTTTTTTTTCGGAGTTTTTTGCTCCGAGACTGTTCAAAAAACACGAAAACACCAACTATTTGACCATTTTTCGGCTTTACAAATGAAGGTAAAAAAAAACATGCCGCAACGTCTCTGTGTGAAGATGTTTCTATGTAAAAGCGTCTCTGTGTAAAAGCGTTTCTCTGTAGATATATCTGTGTGTACAAGGGTCTGTGTGTACAAGCTTCTGTGTGTAAAAGGGTCTCTGTGTAAAAGCTTCTGTGTGTAAAAGCCTCTGTGTGTCAAAGCGTATGTGTGTAAAAGTGTTTGTGTGTAAAAGCGTCTGTGTGTAAAAGGGTCTGTTTGCAACATTCTGTGTATGCGTAAAAGGGTCGGTGTGTAAAAAGGTTCGTGTTTAAAAGTGTCTGTGTGTAAAAAGGTCTGCGTGTAAAAGCATTTCTGTGTCAAGATGTTTGTGTGTCCAACAGTCTGTGTGCTACTACGACTCTGTGTAAAAGCCTTTCGGTGTAAGGATGTTTGTGTGTAAAAAGGTCTGTATGTAAAAGCCTTTGTGTGTAAAAGCGTATAGTGTTTGTGTGTAAAAGCGCCTGTGTGTAAAAGGGTCTGTGTGCAACATTTTGTGTATGCGTAAAAGGGTCGGTGTGTAAAAAGGTTTCTGTGTAAAAGTGTCTGTGTGTAGAAAGGTCTCTGTGTAAAAGCATTTCTGTGTCAAGATGTTTATGTGTCAAAAAGATACCCCCAAAAAATTCCACTCCATTATCAGGACCCCCGGGCGTCCGCCAAAACCATTTTTTTGGACAGCCTAAGTGCCTGCAAAGATATGCTCAATGCAGGTTCCTGATTTTGGAGAGGGGACCTTTTGTAATTGGCTGAAACTGTAGGTTCCTGATTTTGTAGAGGTTTTGTGGGTTTGTCAATTTTCAAATACACATTATGTTGATTTTGCAGGTTTCCCATTTTGTAGAGAAAAATGGTGGAACATGTGTTTTCGACTTGTTTGAGGGCTTTCTTTGTGCGAAGTAGCCATTCTGCTTACATGTGTGCTCATGCCAGGTTCCCCATTTTGTAGAGGCCAGCGGTTGTGAAAATCACAAGAGTGCACCAAAAAAAAGGGGGTTGGGTACCCTGATTTTGTAGAGAAGATGCCTTGCTACATTTGTGGCAGGTTCCTGATTTTGTAGAGGTCTGGGGCCCCAAAAGTCAGGTTTGGCTCTACAAAATGGGGACACCCAACCCCCCCTCAGGTCATTTTTTGGGAGATCAGATTATATTGATTTTACAAAAACTGGAAATGTGGAACAGGAATTGCCTCTACAAAATGGATTTTTGTACATTTCAGGGTTTTCAGGTGAGACGGGGAGACCAAGGTTCTTTCACATCATCCCTCTACAAAATGGACCTTTGTATTTTTGACGGTTTTCTTTCTTCCAAGTAGCAATTCTGCTTAAATGTTTGCTCATGCCAGGTTCCCCACTCTGTAGGGGCCAGTGTTTCTGAAAATCAAAAGAGTGCACCAAAAAACAGGGGGTTGGGTGCCCTGATTTTGTAAAGAAAACCCCTAGATTTGTGGCAGGTTCCTCATTCTGTAGAGGTCCGTCAAGCCATTTTTTTGACAGCCTAAGTGCCTGCAAGGGTGTGCAAGGACAGGTTCCTGATTTTGTAGTGGGAGCATTTTGATGCATGTTGTAGATAGCTGAAACTGTAGGTTCCTCATTCTGTAGAGGGTTTGGGGTTTGTCAACATTCATGAGCATAAATATTTACAAATTATATTGATTTTACAAAATCTGGAAATGTGGAACAGGAATTGCCTCTACAAAATTGATTTTTGTACATTTCAAGGTTTTCAGGTGAGACGGGGAGACCAAGGTTCTTTCACATCATCCCTCTACAAAATGGACCTTTGTATTTTTGACGGTTTTCTTTCTTCCAAGTAGCAATTCTGCTTAAATGTTTGCTCATGCCAGGTTCCCCACTCTGTAGGGGGCCAGTGTTTCTGAAAATCATAAGAGTGCACCAAAAAACAGGGGGTTGGGTGCCCTGATTTTGTAGAGAAAACACCTAGATTTGTGGCAGGTTCCTCATTCTGTAGAGGTCCGTCAAGCCATTTTTTTGACAGCCTAAGTGCCTGCAAGGGTGTGCAAGGACAGGTTCCTGATTTTGTAGTGGGAGCATTTTGATGCATGTTGTAGATGGCTGAAACTGTAGGTTCCTCATTCTGTAGAGGTTTTGGGGTTTGTCAACATTCATGAGCATAAATATTGACAAATTATATTGATTTTACAAAATCTGGAATGTGGAACAGAAATTGCCTCTACAAAATGGATTTTTGTACATTTCAGGGTTTTCAGGTGAGACGGGGAGACCAAGGCTCTTTCACATCATCCCTCTACAAAATGGACTTTTGCATTTGCGAAGGCTTTCTTTGTTCGAAGTAGCCATTCTGCTTACATGTGTGCTCATGCCAGGTTCCCCATTTTGTAGAGGCCAGCGGTTGTGAAAATCACAAGAGTGCACCAAAAAAAAGGGGGTTGGGTACCCTGATTTTGTAGAGAAGATGCCTTGCTACATTTGTGGCAGGTTCCTGATTTTGTAGAGGTCTGGGGCCCCAAAAGTCAGGTTTGGCTCTACAAAATGGGGACACCCAACCCCCCCAGGTCATTTTTTGGGGGGATTCAAAAAGTGTCTGTGCGAAAAAAGCGTCTATGTCTCACGGCGTCTGTGTGTGCAAGGGTCTGTGTGTCAAAGGGTCTATGTGTAAAAGCGTCTGTGTGTAAAGCTGTCCCTGCGTACACGGGTCTGTGTGTGAAAGCGTCTGTGTGTCTGTGTGAAGCTGTTTGTCTGTAAAAGCGTCTCTGTGTCAACGTGTTTCTGTGTAAAGCTATTGTAAAAGGGTCTGTGTGTAAAAGCATCTGTGTGTCGAAGTAAAAAAGTGTCTGTGTGTAAAAGCGTTTGTGTGTAGTCTGCAAGGGTCTGTGTGTAAAAGGGTCTATGTGTTTTTAGCTTCACAATGCTGGGTCATAGCTTCTGTTTGCTTGCTGTGATTCTAAAATTGTATATGTAGCCGTTTCCCGTTCTTCCCAAAAGCGAAATGCAATAGCCGGCCGAATGGCCGCCAAATGGCAGAAAATTGCTTCCAACAGGTTTCTGCTCTGGATCTGGCTCCAAAAGGCTCCTGGCCAGGATTTGGCCTAAAACGGCCGAGCTGGAGCTGATCTGGACGAAAGTATCGTGGAATGCTAACAACTAGCAACCGCCTTTACTTCGAGATACTTCAGCGCAGAGACAAAAAAAACCATGAGCATTGCTTTGGGGGCTGGCTTTCGTCCCCCCCCTTCTCAGGTATATATATATATATATACAATTGGTTCTTTCTTGATCCTTCTTGATTTTGTTCACGATCTGGTGACTTACTTGGCGAGAACAGTCATGACGGATCATGCCTCGAGGCCATGGTGGATGAGTTTCAAACCCCACAGGCGCCGGAGGATTGTTGCAGGGTCGCGCAATGTCGCGCACGTGGCGAAAACCATAGGAAAACCATAGGAAAATGGAGGTTTACCCTCTGGTAAACATACAAAAAGCTATTGAACATGGCCCATAAAAATAGTGGATGTTCCCATTAAACATGGTGGATCTTTCCATAGCTATTTGTACGTTTTCCAGGCCGGGTAAATTGTGTGCCTCTCAGATTCGGAATCTCATTGATCCAAGTACAAAAGTTGAGACGTAGTCATAGACGGTTTGTCCAAACAAAACAACTTGTTTTCATGCGATTTCAAGGCACAAAACGTACCATCTCTTCCTCTACTAATAGAGACCTCTCCTTACAGGGTTAGAATCGATTACTTTCCTGCAACGGGTCTATGTGAGTTCCCAAGATGGTCTCGGAAACAGTGTCGACATGGGTTACGCAGATACACACTCAGAGATTTGGCCGGTGAATTGTCCATGGTTTTGACCTCTATACATAGATTTGCCTAGAAAATCAATCGGTTGAGTATTTTTGGGCGGGTTGTTGAGTGAAAAACCCATTTAGCTATTAGCCACTTGATAGTGATCATAGTATACCGAGGTAAGTTCATAAGTCCCCCACTCCAATGAAGCCCTTTTTCGAGCCACTTGGTGGATTGATTTGTAGGCCGCAGCCTGTTTTGAAGATGTCAGGGTATGCTCAATGGATTGGTTTAAGGGAAAATCTTAACCGGAAACTATGGTTTTTACATGTTTTTACCATCAAATATAGGGGTTACCCCGGTGCACTGTCTGGATTCCTGGTTGGTTCCATCGTCCCACTAGACCCCCATCCCGAGCCTGTCCTGGGATCTGGGATGCTGTTATACCAGAACTGAGGGAATTCAATACAATGTATATATGTACATAAGTATATATATAAATATATATATACATTGTATATAATTTATATATATATATATATACATTGTATATAATTTATATATATATATATACATTGTATAATATATATATACATTGTATATAATATATATATATATATGTACTGTAAAGTATAAAATATATATATATATAACTATACTGTTTCAGTACATTTTTTTGAGGATCGATATTGCCCTGACAGTTGATTTGGTCGATTCCATTCTTGATTGTTGGAATGTTGTTGGCCAATATCTCTGTATGATTTTTGGTTATATACTATATAGCTAAGATTCACAATGTGATGGTCATGCCCTTTTGTTTGTGAATCCTGCAGAGCGTGTGTGTATATATATACAGTACTGGGGTGCATTTAAGAAAGTCAAATAATCACTGTAATTTTTGGGAAATGGTTTCTTTTATTTATAATTGTGAGCCATATCAAAATGGGTAGATGAGTCAGTGGGCAGTGGGAACCATAAATGAGTGGGCATTGACGCATCCTTATAAGAATGGACCCAGCATACGTGAAACATGCAGTACAAGTACATATGATATGTATGCAAACACAACGCACACAGTCGACTAAAGAAAAAAGAACTATATATTGTACATGTCCTGGTCCTGGTCTGTAAAATTTAAAGTACTACTTAACTTACCAGTCATCGGGACGACCAATAAGTTCAATCGGCCTAAATTTCAACAACGACATCAAATATGCAGGATAAAGTGGCTGTAAAGCACAAGATACTGCGTCAGTGGCAAAACAATTCCAGAGGGTATGGCGCTGCAAGCCTTTCATAAAGGCAAAGGAAATACTTCAAGGTTACAAAGGAAATGATAACAATTAGATCAGCACTGTTGACTGAAGTTGCACCATAACAGAACAAACACAAACACGCATCGTCAACATTTATATACGATTTTCACTTCTGGCGAGCGACAAACTGCAGGTGATATTTGAAGGCTAGGCCACCTTCTGTAGGTGCAGGAAGCGTTGAGGGTTCTTATTCCGTCAAATTCTGTTGAGGAAGTAGGGGCTGAACACATTCGACAGGGCATAGGCTCTATTGAAATCTTAACCACAAGTTTGTTTGTTTCTGTTCAGATCAGGGTTGAAATAGAAACAGGAGAAGATCCCAGATGTTCCTGATTGTTTTAGATATGCTTTTTGTTGTTTTTGTCTATGCTGCCTTTGATAGCGCGATTTCGCTCAAGACAGATGTTTATAAACATCAGTGAATTGTGTTTTCTATTTTATTTCGTCCATGCTAGTGTAGCCTTCAAATTTTGAAGGCTGAATCCTTTAGAAACATATGTTTTTGAGCACTTGGCAATGCTTCGGGCTGTTTAAGGAGGGTCCACAAAAGTCAGTAAGGATCGCTCGAGAATGCTTTGGGTCTTTAAAGAAAAAGGTTGCTTTAGAGGAGCCGGGAGCGTTCTGGAGCGTTTGAGGAAGGTTTCAAACAACTATATAAATATTACAATATATCTATGAAACTTAAAATGCAGCGTTCGGGAGTTTCAGCCCGTTTGCTGCCTACAACATTCGTGTTTTCAGAAAATTCTCAAGATCACAGCACGACTTGTAATAAATCCCGTCCTTAGCCAAGGTTGGAAGCGGTCTAGATTTTGGTCAACCCATACCAAAAATTGCATACATGGGGGATGTCTCCGGTTGGCATCACAAATTATTGTGACAGCACCAAGGTTCACTGACATTTTCCATGGGTGCCATCGTAAAGCGAAAACGGCAAATACCCCAACGGATTCCAATACATATGTATATTGATTATATGCGCATATTCTATATATATATATATTATTTATATATATCTCTCTCTCTCTCTCGTGCGCACGCGTGCATCACATGGGTCAGTGGGCTTGCCCTTAGCCTTCGTATTCGGAAGGGAGTGGAATGGTACTGCACGTGAAAAAGGAAGAAATCAACATGACAACAAACGCGTCTTTCAACTTCAAATGGCATATATAACAACATGGAGCCTCAGTTTCTGAAGAAAACAAAAAAACTACTCTTGAGAGAATAACCTTTCCCAGCATGGGGTAAGCTGTTTTCTCTTTGTCCTGACAGTGTCAAAGGTCGGGAGCGCTTTGGACCCTTCCCAGTTGCTGTGAGTTTCAAGAATTCATTGCGAAGACACTTAAGAATAGGCTGGCAAAGGTCTGTAGCACCATTGCACCATTGACAAATTGATCATTGCCAGAATCCTAAAATATTGCAAGAAGTAGAGGCTGGAAAAATTGTAGCACTAATGACCTTTGCAAAAATCCAAAAAATGCACAAGTAGAGGCTAGCAAAAGTCGGCAGCGCTATTGACTTTTGCCATAATGCCGAAACAATCCAAAAAGTAGAGGCTGGCAAAGGTTGATAGTGCTGTCACTGGCTTAAGCAAACATTCCAAAAAATCCAAAGTTCCAAAAATTAAGATTGAGCTGCGTTTAAGATAGTGAGTGTTGGAAGGATAGGGACAAATTGTCCCTATCCTTCCAACGGTCGGTAGCGCTATTGAGTGTTGCCAGCCTATCCTCACCGTAGTATGGGCCATGGATTTTGGACCTTTTTAAGCGTGTCGGAATTTTTGGAACCTGCATTTAAGAAAGTCATGCGTAGGCTGGCAACGGTCGGTAGCGCTATTGAGTGTTGGAAGGATAGGGACAATTTGTCCCTATCCTTCCAACGGTGATTACCTTAAATGCAGCTCAATCTAATTTTTGGAATTTTGGATTTTTTGGAATGTTTGCTTCAGACAGTGACAGCACTATCAACCTTTGCCAGCCTCTACGTATCGCATCCTGAAGGTGGGGAGGGCTCCCAGGCTTTGCCAGCCTAGTCGGATTTTTTTTTCACAGATCATGTTATACAGGTTGAAAGGCGTCCCATAATTTGTATTGAAAGGTCATTTGCCTCAAGCCAATATGTTGAATTTTTATTATGTGAGTTCATTCCTTGTTTTGTTAGAGTGTCAAGTCATGCCCGTCTGACCAAGAACACCAAGGGCAAGGCCATCGCCAGGCCCATAAAGGAACACACAGACAAACACTTCGCAAACCAACGCAGGCTAAGGATCAAAAACATTGAAAGGCAAGATTTTGGATGTTGGAACATCCGACATTCATTTGGGTATCTAATGCTGCTGCTTAACAATGGCTGGCATGGAAAGCAAACATCTTGGTATTCAGTACTCATAGTTCACAATAATTTGTGATGCATGACAACTAACAAGTTGGACTAATCAACTATTTTGCCAGGGTCTTTTAAGATATGGTCAACATTGTGGGTGTTCTGGACCTTTGCCAGGGGAGAACAACAGACTCTATGCTTGCTAAAGTGATTTTTCCTCAGCAGGAGCTTCACTTTTTTCTTCAAATTAACCTGTCTCGGTTCCTGTATGTGATTCATGGGGACAAGTATTTTGATGCCGGGACATTCTCACTGTGTCATGTTGTCTTTTCTCCTGAATGACTACTGACTACTTGGGAGCAATGCTATGCCATATGCTGCAGGATCCATCTCTACAAAATATTTTTTTGGTTTGCGTCCTATTCTTTGTTTTGGTATCATAGTAAACATCAATATCAACAGGTTGTTTTATAAGAGAATTTGACCAGTGCAATGACGGTTCCCTCAATTTTGACTTGGGATTAACTGTCAAAAAACTGCTGCATTTGTTTAAGGCTGCTTTTTTCTGCCCTGCATATCTGTCTCTCTCTATCTCTCTCTCTCTCTCTCTCTCGCTCTTGATTCTGAATGGCCGCTTTGCTTGCAGGAAGGGCCCCATGTCATTGGTACTTGTGATGTGCGTTCAAATCCTCTAAGCATGTGTCCTATTTCAGTTTCTGAAAAAATCTACCTCTTCGATTGACATTTGTTTTTTCACTATTTGTGGCTGATCTGAGGGCTCATAAAGAGACAATGTTGTGCCGAGAATTGCTTGGCCTGCGCAATGATATTTGCAATGATGTTCAACTGCAAAACGATAATCATGGATAATCATTAGGTCGCTGTGAGTTGCTGAACAGTAGATTTTGCTGTATACATCCCCTGCAAATTTAAGAAAACAAATATTGCGAAATCAATGAACCTGTTATGTGCACCATATCATCCTTGTAGGCCGACCCTGAATGGATGTTTGTATGTAGTTATAAATACATATAGAGATACAGATACATGCTCAATGTCAAACCGCAAACACAACATACAATTCATCAGACTACCCAAACGTCCATCTAACGTCAATCTACTCATTAATCATGTCTTGCAAAGATCTTCAGCATAAATCAAACCCTTTAAGAGAAATGGACATCTTGGAAAAAAACAACACTTTGCATCAAAGTTGACTGCAATAAATGCGAATTGTCAAACTTGGGCTCAACCAGCTTTTCGCATCAACATTTTTAACAGGATAGTAGTGGTATGTCTTGAATGAATGCATGAATGAAGGGGAGGTTGATAGATATCTTGTGTGCCCTTGGCTTGCATATGCTGTCATATGCTGATGTTTAGCCATCTTTAAGGCAGTCATGTTTGATCATGTTTGTTATTCTAAACGTCTACGATGCAAAGAACTCGAACATTGGATCTGTCGCCATCTGTCGCCATTTGACCATTTGATTGGCCCTTGGAATTCCAAATCGCATTATTTGCTATCATTGCTCTAATTGAACAAATCGAAGGAATGATTTGACTGGACCAGAAGATCCGATCTACTATTCTGATAGAGTGATTTGACTATGTGGATTGCTTCTCTTGATGGTAAAAGGATTTGACTATTGAATTGGTACAAAAATTCCACAAATAGCACTTGACTATTTGACTATGTTAAACACAGGCCAGAGTACCAATATGTGATTTGAAAGTGTCATGTTCATTGCTTAAAAACCAAGTTGTTGATGTTAACATCACCAATCTTGATGGTCATGACTCATGACACCATTCTTGATGGTCGACTCCCAATTGTTTGTGATTCTTCAATCCCAATTTCTCGAAATTCCGATCCCATTTTCTTCTGAATTTCCAATCCGATTTTCTTGAGCATCACATGGAAATTATTCTGTATCCTTCAAAAACCCATCGATTTAATTAGAATCCACTTAAACATGCAACTAAATCATATTCATATGTGTGTTTCATTTTAGGTATCAAACAAAATCAACCCAATATTCATGATATCAAACTACATCCTTTTTCAATCATTTAGCTTCATCAATTTGCGTCAGGGCTTCGCTGCAGCACTACGCGACTCCAGCGATGCCGAGCTCTTGGCGCGGCTGAAACAGCGCGGTGGACGAGTCACGCAGCCGCTGTTGCAGCACTGCCGACGGCTCTACTGTGGGGCATAGGCGGCTGGGATGGTGGGATGATGAGATGATGATTATGGTAGGTAAATAGATGGGAAGTGTGATAACTGATATGTTACAAAATGAGTATGTCTGAGTAAGTCGTTGCTACAAGCCACTTTGTTATATTATATATCATTATAGTATATATACACACATGCTATATTCAGTCAGTGAAAACGGTCTGTGACCCTTTCAGGCACCCTTTATTCAGTAGTTTCACTGCCCATCGAAATAGATATGTTGATTTACCATGCATAGTTTGCCAGCAAAAACTATCCCATAATAATAATATTATACACATGTACCTGACCAGTATGTATATATATATATATACACGTATATTTTACTTATTTTATTTAGTTGATTACTTACTTACTCACTCACTCACTTACTTTCTTGCTTGCATACATGCATACATGAATGTATGGTATATACAATCAATCAATCATAGATATATAAGTAATTATATACTTCACATAATATCCACACACAATTGTATACATATTCATATATAGAAATATACAGAATACACCCATTCACACATCCCCAGCGTTGACGATGAAACAGGCATCCAGAAAACAACTCAAGTCGCGCTGCGCTGGCTTTGCCGCAGAGTGCAGATGAATTTGGCAGTTTTATTTTTTTTGAGTAGCCTCAAAAAGCCCATTTCACCAAAAAAGGACATGAGTTGGAAAAATCATTGACAATATTGTGATATATTGTGATTGGAACCCCTTTTCGAGGGGGCACATGACAGAATTTGAATTCAACTCCATCGCAAGGGGAAACATCGACCATGGATTTGGCCACAGAGACATCACCGAATCCATGATACCATGTAATACATTGTAATACAATATCATATATACATATATTTATATCACATGTTGTTTTCTCTGTTTTAGGTTAAATATGTTATCCGTACATGTTTGAAATAACAACTATATATTTTTATCTGTATTATAAATATATACATATACATATACATATACATCTGTGTTCAAGATAGACACAAGAACATCTAGAACTATATATTAATAGCTCTCTCTTTGCATATATGTATATATGTAACTATAACTTATTATATGTGTAGATACAATTACATATACATAGACTTATTTGCATGATTTTATTTAACTGCATAAATACGTACAAATATATATGTGTGTACACATGTCTATACAACCACATATGTACACATAATGTAACAATAACCCTATACAATGCAACCGCATACAACCATATAAAACTACATATGACTATACGAGACTATGTCACTATGTATAACTATATAGATATAACTACAGTATATATATATGTATGTACATATATAACTATACATATATACACATAACTATGTAACATAGTGTAAAACTGTACATATATATAATATAAATATAGCTATATTTAAACATATATATATATATATACATAACTTTATTGATATCTAGAGTTTGTTCTTTTGTCGTTCAAACTATATATATATATATATATTGCTTTTTTAGACTGTGTTTGCGTGCAAACAAGTGAACACGGCTGTCCTGATCTTTTCAACGACAGTGCTTTTTTCTTTGTCAACCATTCACCTTGACCTGAATTGTGGAGGTTTACTGGTTCCAGGTAAACATTCTGAAGCAAGGCCTGGTGGTTTCAAATAGTTGTTCCCATGGTAACGCTTTTGATCTACCAGATAGTAATATACGAGGACTCAAACTGATTGTTTTATTCTTCCTAGTGGTTTGCAGGTAATGGAATCCTGGAAAGATTGCGCAGGCAGCCAGATTTTATAACAACTGTGTAAAGGCTGACAGCTATTTAAGAATGAGCAGAACGTTCGTGTCAAGTTCTGTATCACTCAGCCATCAATCACATCAACCAAACATGCAGCTGGTTGCTGGATTGGATTGCCTTGGTGCATGTCCTAGCGGCCCAAACCCAAGCTGATTCCTTGCGGCAGATGTACCCGAAAACTCTCATGGAAAAGACATGGCTGGGGTTGGAAAATTGAAAGGCTTGGAAGATCTGAGAAGACAACTTTGCGAGTGGACGCACGCGTTCCTTTGGTATTCATAGAAATTTTGAGGCTGTAGATGCAAGGGTTGCAGTCTGCCATTGCAATTGCCTCTATGGGAACATTGTGCATGCATCAAATGCACCAATTTGTGTGCAGCGGCATGCCAACCACAGTTCAAACCACGTAGGTATGGGTCAAGACTGGTTGACCCCCCAAGAAAAGTAGAAATACATAGAATCATAGACATATCCGAACATGTTTAACATTATTTGTGGGCCACGGACCTTCAATTTTGATTCACCCCAAACTGTTTTCTGCTGCCCCAGGGAATCACCTCAGCCGTTTGTGCCGGTGAACATATGGGGGCATTTCCTGCCTTTTCCATATGTTTTTCCTCGATTTATAGATTATTTATATTGATTTATAGATGATTTACATATTACCCATAGGATCCATGTATGGTATATATGCTCACATTGGGGGTATATTGATGGGATCCATGTTACCATATATATATATATACATAGCATACATGGATCCTATGGGTTATAAAGATTGGGATTTCACACAAATGACCAGAGGGTAAAATCGTTTCCGCTGGCCGCAGAGCTTAGCTCAGCTGGTATTTAGCTGTGCATTTTGTGTCAGAAACGCTGAAACGCAATGGCCAGGCTGGGGTGTGAGATGTGGTGGCACCAATTTTTTTCAAAGCTGCTTAATAAGCTTAACCATTCAAAATGATGATTTAATTGGATATGAATAGGGATATATATATAAATACATTACTGGCTAGTTATAATCAGCAATGGGTTTATTTGCCATCAAAGCGAATTGTCATCCCTCATTCATTGGGGTCAATATATCCATTAGAAGCATTGCTATCATGGCATGGATGATCATACTCCATATTCCATGTAACTTGCGCACGGCACTTTACAGCTTTGATTGCTTACCATGGGCTCAGGGAAATGCCTATACATGCCCGCCAGTTTTAAGATTCGAGCGCCCAAGCCTATGGCCATATCTTACGAAGATATGTATTATATATATATATTATACACAGAAAAAATGCAGTAAACTCTCAACAGCATGGGGGGTAGATATGGGTAGTAAAAACCATGGTTTCCCGTAGACATTTCCCAACAACAATCCCTCGACACCTCTTTGTCCAAAGATTGGTTATACACTGCGATTGGTATATGTCTACGCCAATAAAGTGATTAAAATCAGAAAACGGATGAAAACCGCTGGATAATCCTGGATATTTGGGATTTTAGCGTAGCCCATTTTCAGACAAAGCCACATCCTGTTTCATTGTCGTTAGGCGCTTGACCTTTTTCTTGGCCACTGCCACACTGACTGCCGCGGAAACTTGTCGGTTTCAGATGGCTATGGGTTGAATTCTAAGACACAGACTGCAGATTGTTTTCCTATTGATCCCATACTTCTATGGGGGTTTCCAGAATCATGGTGGTGCCCCCAAAATGGATGGTTTATAAGGGAAAATTCTATTGAGATGGATGATTTGGGGGTAGCCCTATGACTTAGGAAACCTCCATATAAAACTCCCCAGTGAGAATCAAGAGGACTTGGGATGACACAAATTGGTACACTAAGCTGTTGCATCACCCTGGTCTCCGATTGACTTAAAGCCTTAGTGGTTTTGGGAAAGTTTGGGGTTACCCTCTGGTGTCATCAAACATGGCCATGGCTGGCTGGATTTTCCCTATCTATAGATGAATTTTCCCAACTTCGACCTCCATTTACTTCGGGGATTTTCAAGTGCCACGTTTGATTACCGGAGGGTGTCCACCAGTTTTTGGACAGACACATGTGTTGCATGGCATTAGCGAGCAGTAGCTGCCTATTTGCATTTGTTCTACCCAGCACCAGCAAAACACTGCTCGGTGTTCTTTCAGTTTTTTTCAATTGTACATTCTACCTAGTCATAGGATGAAGAAGCCAATGGACTTTCAGATACCCTCTGGAAAACTAACATAGCTATGGAAAATCACCATTTTCTAGCTGGGTAAATCCACTATTTTTATGGGCCATTTTCAATAGCAAACTGTTAGTCATTACCAGGCCGGGTATATTTTGGTGGGTCACCAAGCACCAGCCATCTCTGAGGACAGCGTTTGGGGCCTCCCTGATTCACCGGATGATACGTCTGTGACTGCGCCAGCGCCGGCACCGCCTACGAACCTTCGTGGGTCTGCCGCACCTGCCCCGGCGCCAGCCGGCCAGGTGAGTTGGGGTTGAGAGTGGGGGAATAGCTAAGATATGTGGCAATTTCAGTAGGGAAGCTATGAGACAATGATGATCAACCATCAGATTTTTATGATTTTTGCTGCCCCTCATTCGGTTTTGAAGCTTGATAAATTACTTGAAATAGTTGTTGACTGGCCAACAAGCTGATGCAGATCTATGGAGAATATGTATTTGGAAACCTGAAAAAAGGCCCAGGACAAACAGCCTTGCCATGCTACCGGATCAGGATGAGTTAATATTTAAATGCGTTTAAATGCTATTTTACAAGTGCTTCTCTTTCAACAATTAGCCTCCCAAAACATGTGTTTTAAATGGTCAACATGATAGAACAACTGGAAGATTCCACAATTTTAATGGAATTGGATGATGGGAAAATTCTAACCGGAACCCCCTATATTTGATGGTCAAAACCATGGTTTCCGGTTGAGATTTTCCCAAGAAAACCAATCCATTGAATGAACACCTTCCGGATGTTCCTGGACTTCTCCCGTTTGTGGCAGGATATTGTGGCGGGTGCTCAGAAACAGGAGAAGCAGGCACAACAACAAGCGCTGCAAGCGCAACAGGCCATGAAGTTCGTACCTTGGCCCTGCAGAATTTAAGGCGTCCTGAAAAAAAGTTGGTGAATTCATATGGGATTTTTAGCCAATCTGGGAATGGGGATATCACATATCATGTTTGGGGAATATGGGTGTTTATTTATGTGCTTCAGTGA